CTCAACTTTACTATTTCACATACCAGTTTGTTCTGAAGCTCAGGCTGGTCTGAAACTCACAATGTAAACCAGGCTAGACTCATGGAGCTCCTCATGCCACTCATGGAGCTGTACACAACTATACCCAGTTGTTTATTCCATATTTTAAATTCTTTTTAGGTTTGATCGTAAGTTTGGCTTTCTAGTGTGCTGTTTTTGGTTGGTTGGTTTTTTTGTTTTCTTATGAGAAAATCTACACACCAAGTATTTTAACCATTTTAAAGTAAAATTTGATGGCATTAGGCGAATTCACAATGTGCAACCATTATCATTATCCTCCATTCTCTATATAATGGGTTTCCACTTTAACCTACAATAACATTATTTCTGTTGATCTTTGACAAATTGTTTAAATTATGTGACTCCAAGATGCCACCCATGTCTTAGGATGGTTTGGAGGTGAACTGACTGAGGCATTGAAAGGGAAAGCACTGGTACAAGTGTCCCATGTGCTCCAACGGTCCTCCCTCTCTTGTCCTCTCTGTAGTTGGTGCTAAGACTTTGCGTTTTTGTTGCCTCTATTCTTGTATCCCTCACAAATGTTTATTGTTACCATTTTTGTCTAATTTTCAGTAAAAAATATAAGTATTGGAACATGCCTTTATTACTTATTTGAAAAACTAATGTGTAAAACCCAGATGGCCACTTTTTATCACCCGCTGGCAGTTACTGGTAAGAAGCACAATTAACAGGACATAGAATGGCTTCTGGTTTTTCACACTGCCTGTGCCATTGCTCTTTAAGACTTCCTAGTTTATAGGGTAGAATTCACTTTGATCCTCCTGTAGACTTTTGGTGTCGGGTACATGTTTATGGATTTGTATGCCCCTTAGGATAGATTAGTAATTGTTGAATCATGGGATTTGGAACAGTGATCTTTTTCATTTAATTTTTCTTTTTTTGAGACATGGTCTCATAAAGCTCAGGCCAGCCTCAAACTTGATGTGTAAGTGTAAGTTTCACATTGGCACAGTATATATAAGTATATATTTAATTTCCCTTTCTTCCTAAGAGCTGTAATAGCACATTGAAATAGACTTAAGTTATGCTTATGGCCATTATGATCACAAGACAAATAATGTGTATATCCAGCTACAAAAGAAAGATTATGAGAAACAAATCTAGAATTTTGAAGTAAAGTAAGTTAAGTTGTGATATTATAAAAAGATTTGGCTTTGTTTATGAACGTGTAAATCTGCAATAGTATCTTTAAAATTAGGAGTTTGGGGTCAGGAGGTGACTCGGCTTGGTGATCTGAGTCAAATCCCCAGAACCCACATGGTGGAAGGAGAGAATAGTCTCCTACAGGCTGTCCCTGAGCTCCACATGTGCCTGGCACATGCCCCTTATCCCCGAAAAATAAACAAGTGAAACAAATGATGTCATGGGAGTGGTGACTCACACCAACGTTAAAGCTAACTCAGGTGGGGCTGTCACTTGAGTGCACGATATCTAGGCCAGCATGAACAACATTGTGAGGGCCTCACCCCCAAAACCCACAGACGAACAAGACTGTCATTTTCTTTAAATTAAACTGGGTTTTAACGTTTTCGCGGGTACTTAGAGGGATGTGAAGCCTTAGCAAATACTATTTTTCTTCTCGATTTTATATTTTCTTTGATTTTCTTTTTGAGATTGTAATTTAATTGCAACATTTTCCCGTTTCCTTTCCTCTCTCCTAACCTTGGCATATACCCCTCCTACTCTTCTTCAAATTCTTGGCCTCAATTTTCATTAATTGCTATTACATGAATATTTGTATATACATATATATCCTAAATATAACTTGTTGAGCACATGTCGCTATGTGTGTGTTTCCATGAAGGCATCTTCAGAAAAGATGGTAAAGCATGTCTATTTAGAAACCATAATTGGAACTTGAAGGCTGTTGAGAGACTTTACTATCCAAGTGCTTGAAAAGTGCTTAAAATAAAAGATTAACTTGGTATGCTTGTAGCTTCATCAGCTATTGACTGAGTTCTTATTATGTTCATATTATGTTCAGCATAAAAATCTTCATTCCACATCTGTCATAGCTATTATTATTTTGTGTTTTAAAGTCTTCATTCACTACAGAATAATGTCAAAACTAGAAGTAATCCATGGGAATGAGAATTCTAAGATTTTTGCAACAACTCTGCATTGCTTTTATTATCCAAACTGGAACCAAGTATTGTGTTTAGTTCTAGTGAGCAAGCTTTCTGTTATATAGCCTGTGTTAATTAGAAAAAAGTTGTTGTGACATAAATATTAAAAGTTTTATCAGCTGGGTGGTGGTAGTGCACACTTTTAATCCTAGCTCTTGGGAGGCAGAGACAGGCAGATCTATAGAGTTCAAGGCCAGCCTGGTCTACAGAAAAAGTTCCAGGACAGCCAGGGATAGATAGAGAAACCCTGTCTTGAAAAACCAAAATAAATAAATAAAAAGGTAGATTGTAGTATACTTAGCATGTTTGAGGCACTGGGTTTGCTCTTTAGAATTACAAAAAAAAATAAAATAATCAAGTTTTAGCACATTGATAATGCTGAAAATGTGAAGAATGCTTATATCCTCCTATTTAACATATTCTTACATTTCAACCTACAAATTTTTGGAAGGAAAACTACTGTATTGATAGCAATAGTACTTAGGTGCATATTGTAATGAAATTATGTAATTTATTGTTATTAATACACTTTATTCACAGATTTGCTAGAATGTGTATTTGAAAGTGTCTCACATACCACAATTGTCAGGATTTGTAGGCTACTTGGATTTGATTTGATTTTGGTGGTATTGGTTGTTTTGTTTTTCTGTTTGTTTGTTTGTTTGTTTAAGACTGTTTACTTGTGTAGCCAGGCCAGCCTCAGAGTTGCAATAATTCCCCTACCTCTGCCTCTTAAGTGCTGAAATAATTACAGGTATGAGCCACCACACCTAGCTTTTGTTTTAAAATGATGGAAATGACTGCTGATAATTGAGCAGTTATGTAAGAATATCAAGTCTGAGTTTTCAAAATTCTGTTCTCTAAAATATGGAAACTATGTCCCTTCAGTTCAAAAGCTGAGAGGAAAGATATTGGTACTTTTAAAGATATTAACAAGAATGCTTCTTTTCAAGGAAGAAACAAATAGAATTATTTTCTATTTTTTCATAAAGAAGTCACCTTGTAACTTACTACATAATTCAGCTTGAATATTGAGTGGCTCAGGATTTTAATATGGTTTTGGAAAGTTCAATATTTGATTATGCATATTCACTTAATATCATTGCCCCCTTTTGATCTATGAAAAAAAATTTGTATTCTTTAATGTTCAGATTTTTTAAATAAATTAGTTTTGTGTTTAAAAACAAGTAAAGAACATGTAATTGACTATTTTTTTAATTATTGTCTTTATCTTCCTCTATCCGGGTGTGGATTTTAACCCTGCCACAGGAAAGAGATTTCCTTCACTCTTTGCTAAGAGCACACTCAGTGCAGTTTTTACATCCATAGGCCTTGATTGAGAAAACATGGAGTATTAATAACTTTCTGTATAGGTAAAACTCAGAATTTCAACAAATGAAGATTGAAGGCATTCTGTTTCTCTGTTTTCTTTGCTCTTATTGGGTTGAAATCATATATTTACAAATGTATGTTTGCATAGTACATAGTTATAAATTGGTAAAACAAAAAAGCATTTTTACAGTTACAAATCAGTTTCATGGCCACATGGATTATTCTCTTCTGTGTTGAGCACAATGAGCCTGGGGAGGATTGTAGCTATGACTTTCATTTATGGTCCTGTAATTCTGCAGTGCAAGTTGTCTGCGTCTTATAGTCAGAACACAGTTTTGAAGTTCTGTAAGAGCCGCATGTGCATTGAGCACATGTACTTCTGACCTTTAAACTTTGTTTCCCTTTTGACATTTAAGAGTAGAGGAAGGAGTAAAGCTATTATCACATAATTGTATTCCTTGAACTTGTTTTCTGTCCTTTTCCTGTTCTTATGTGTGGCTCCAAAAATTATATTATATTATATTATACCAACACAAGTTGAGTGGGCACGCACCAGCAAAAATGAAGACTTTGGTTCTCCTGTTTCTATTTTTCATTATCTCTGCAGCAGGAGTTTGAACTTTAAATTGTGTGTTAAGGTGGGTTCAATGGCTGGTAGGAAAAGTCACACAGGTGAGACTTTAGGAGCATCTATTGGAAAAGAGCCAGCCTCAATTAAGTAGGGATGGAGTATTTCATTTTTTATAATGTATCTACTGTTAGCAGGTCAAAGAGAAGTTTAACCATTAAAAATTAGGATCAAAGGAACAGGGTTTGAAAAGTAAAGATTTATTTAAATAATTGCTTAGTATTTAGTGGAAGTTCATTATTTCAGATTAAATTGGATCTTAGCTTTACATAATTATTTTTCCTTAATTCTCATATTTAAGGTTTCATTTTACGTGTTTATTTGCCTTATCGAGATCCAGAAGAATTACATTTTCATTTAAATTGATTACATATAGAAAGTTGATTGTGATGTATTTAATTGATTTTCTAGTTTGTCCTATTTAAAGCGATTCTGTGTGTCTGTGTTAACAGTTATGTAAATGTTCCACATTAAAGCAGGTTAGATGTTATCATAACTTACTGACCTGCTAGGCTAGTCTCTATCATTTTAAATGTAACCCTAATCCTTAAAAAAATTGTTTTATTATCTGCGCATGGCTGTCATTGTAGTGTTTAATGCATTAGGCACTATAGTAACCAGTAGAAGTGGCTCCTCGTGTTGGCTTTTGCAGAGCTTTACAGAAGTCATTGCGTACCGCTCTCGTGACTTGGAACAGCATGTCAGTTTTGAAAAGCCACGTGCAAGCTTGAGATTTTGAGATTGGAACTAACGTAGAAAGCTTGAGTAGCAAAATATTAAAAAGTTATTCTCTGATGGCCTCGATGATAGTAATTTATGAATATATAAAGCTTGAATTCCTCTCTTTTTTACAGTTTGTGAAGACTGCAGAGACCTTCAACCCAGTCACGTAAGTGTGTAAAGAGAGAGTGGCCCTCATGGAAGAAGAGCAAGACCTACCAGAGCAACCGGTGAGTGTTTCCTTCAGGTTGACTGCAGAAAAGCCAATCTGAAGAAACTTTGAGTATTGGTCACGTATACATATGGAATCCAAATTAGAAGTGGGAGTAAGGAACAGGATCCTTAGTAATTTCCCTCTAAGAAAGCAATGTTGTGTGTTCTTTTGTTTTGTTTGTGAGATGGAGTCTTGCTATATGCAGTCTCTAATGGCCTCAGCCTCCCAGATCAGGATCACAGATGTGCAGCACCTTACCTGGCATGTTGCTTGTTTTTAAACTCATACTTGCTCACTTACTGCTGGGGAATCTGTTCAACAAACTCAGCATTACCAATTGAGTATTGCCCTTTTCTTTATGTACTGAGAGATGCATACTCATAATTACTCTGCCATTCTTTCAGCCTCCTCAGTTAAGGAAACTGTAAAAATTAGGGAGGCATAAGTAACTAATACAAATACCTTTTGAAAATGTTAAATGTGATTCCTGTCCTTGGGGAGTTATTAATAACCAGGGTTTTAATAGGATTAAAATGATCTTGAACAGCATATATAGGATGTGCATTTTTGAAATAGCTGAACTATAGACACAATGTACCAAGGAAAATGACATCATTTGAGTGTTTAATTTAATAAGACAAATGTCTGCTCATAAATTCAAAAAGCCTTATGTAAATGTTGAAATGGGAATCTTTCCTTACTCCCTACCTAATTAAAGTAACAAGAATTGTGCGACTAACCTGCTAACAGCTCGTCGCATCTACTCTGCTTTCCTCCCTTCTTACTCTGGTCAGGTTCTGTAACATTATATGCAAAACCTAAATGTCAGAGGAATGTAAGAAACTGAAACACTTTAAAGCCAGAATTTCTGTCATGTGGTTATTGTTATAGAAAGTTGCTTTCTTTTTCTTTTTTCTTTTTGCCTTGGATTTTTGAGAAAGAGTTTCTCTGTGTAGCCCTGGCTGACCTGGAACTCACTCAGTAGACCATTCTGGCCTTGAACTCAGACATCCTCTTGTTTCTGCCTCCCTAGTACTGGGATTAAAGGAGTGCACCACTGCTGCCTGTATGGGAACTCACTTTCTTACTGGTTTGTGCTCCCAGCACAAATCTATCAAGGTGACTGTGTGACCCCATGGGCATGTCAGTGCTGTTGGAAAAGACACAGTATGCTTGACATTACTGGGTGAGGCACCAGTGTCAGTAAGGAGGCAGAAAGCATCCAAGGGAAGATGTAACCACAGGCTTCACTAGACTCTACATAAAGACAAGGCAGACAGCAATGGCATGACTCACTAAAATAATTCTAGCAGGCTGTTTTGGTTGATTTTAGGACAGGGGAAATAGGCATGTAAGAGGCACAGTCACCAGCCGAGCGTGCAGACCAGGAATCCCTGTACTTGGTGGACCAGTGTGTTTTTGTTAACTTGACAGAAGCTAGGGTCATCTGTGTTGCCTGGCACCCCTCATGGCTTCTGTTTCAGTTGGGGCTGTCTTTCCTCAGTGAAGTGTAAGGTGATATGAACCTTTGCTCCCAAAGTTGTTTTTGGTCATGGTGTTTATCACAGAAACACCAATGAAGACATTTGGGAAATGGAGGCAGAAGCATTAGGAATTGAAGCTCATTCTCTGCTGTATTGCATGTTCTAAGTCAGCATGGGCTACACAAGACCCTGTCTCAGAACAATAACTAAGAAGGAGTATTTGAATTAGGTAGAGGCAATGTTTCTGACTATGGTCTCTGGACTCTAGGGGAGATACAAACAGCTTAGTCCTCCAGGTTGCTCCTATAATTAGTAGATGCCAATTAAGCAAGCATATAATCTAAGAAAACAGAGAATATTTACTATAAGTATTAAAAAAAAATAGGTAGAGTGTTTTTCACTTTCAGGAGGAGGCTGTTCTCAGGTTGTAGTAGAGATCCCTGTGATAGAGTAAGTGGCTGTGCCACAGACTACTAATATGGCACAACCAACTCAACCCTGCATTTCACTCTTTTCCATGAGTGGGAGCAGCCAGCCCATAGCTATAAAGGACAGTCTCCTTGAATTGGTTTTTCTTTTTGTTTTGGAGGCAGCATCTTTCTAAGACACCCAGACTGGCCTTGACTTGACTATGCAGCCAGAACTGACCTGAAACTCATGAGCCCTCTGTCTTAAGCCTCCCAGGTGCTGAGGTTGCAAGAATGCACCACCATACCCAGCTAACAGTATTTTAAATGAATTCTGATCTTTCAGATTTACCTCATAAACCGACTTTGTTTCTTTGAGACAAAGTCTATTTGTGATCTAGGCTGACCCTGAACTATAGGCAGGCTCTGTAGTGCTGGGAGTACAGTCATGTGCTACCATAATCAGCTGTCCAGTTGACCTGAGACTTAGAAACACAATTGTCAGGCCAGTGTTTATTATCTCTGAAAAAAAAAAACAAAAAAAAAAAAAAAAAAAAAAAAAAAAACCAGCGAGTGAGAGCTGAGTTTGAGATAGCTGCAAAGAAGCACGCCACTTACATGTTGTTCCTGTTTCATCCAGCAGTGATGGCAGGGAGGAATGAAGGCATCAGTGCCAGAAACTACATACCTGTGCCACTTTAATGTCCACTCATTAACAGCATCCTGAAACGAGACAGATCTCAGAAAAGAATATGGCATTTAGGTAGTAATAGTGACAGTTCCAAGTTTTAGGCAAATGGCTCAAGTGACTATATGATACTAGAAAACTGAAATTCTTCAGAGTACCAGAGAATAACACCATTATTTCATCAGTGATGCCCACTCTGTAAATTGCAGTGAGCCCCCTCCCCTTCCTTTGTCTTTCCTTTTTTTGTGGGAGTGTTAGTTGTTGTCTGTTACTTGTTTTGTTTTTGTGTTTCTTGTCTACGGTTCTAAAGATTGAACTGAGGGCCCTGCTCCACTAAGTAGGTGCTTCATCTCCAAGCTAGCCTTCGGGTATTTCCTATTGTCTAGTTACTCTTTGTTTTCTCCTTTTTAAGAAGAGGCTTGCTTACACTGTCAGAGAGAAAGGGTCTTCCATCTGGAGATAGGCCTGCTGCATTTTGTAAGGTTGTGTATGTTAACATTACAAAGCTATTTGTAATTTGATGATTTCCCCTCACTGTTAGCTGAGTGTGGCCTGGTAGTATTATTTTCTAGATAAGTCTGTTTACCCAAAAAATGAGGGCCTACCATTTTATTTCCCAACTTTGCCATGTTACACTATAACTAAAGAATGCTGGCTTTAAGTCCCCATGTGTTTAAGAGACAAAAAAAAAAAAAAAAAAGCTACAAATAGTTGGGATCAGTCTCCTTCATTTGCTGCCAGATTTTTGGTGGGTAGAAAACAGGAATAAGTGTATATTATATATATGAGTGTGTGTTTTTTTTGTGTCTCATGCAGTTGAGTTTAGGAACTCACCCCCGTCTAATTCCTGAAATTTGCACACAGCTTAAAAATTATAATAAAGTGGACAGTAGAGGGGAGTATGTCCTAAAACAGCACAGTAGAGCTGAGGCCTTTGGTTTACTCTGAAATTTATTTTTAGGGCATCCCCTCCTATTTGTGTTGATACACTGTCCTCTTTATGTTTTTTACATTTAATGTTGTTTCCCTCCTGTCCATTTTTTTATCTCTGTTTTATCAGACTTGTCTCTCTAAGATTCAGTGCAGGTTCTATTGTCTTGCAAATGCCCAAGGTAGGCTCGAATTCCCTAATCTAAGGATGGACCTCGGTGATTAGGCTACTGTCCATAGACAGGCTCTCAGATGCAGTGACTTTTCAGTACATTGAATTTCATGTTATTATTGGTGAACCCTTTTAATGACTCTTTCGGTACAAACCAGCCGCCCGCCCCCCCATACAAGTTCCTCTTTACCTACTAAATTCAATTTATCAGGTTTCAGCTTAAACTATTAGTTTTCTACTGTTATTATTATTACTATTATTATTTTTAGTCAGGCTCTTTATAGCCGTGACTGGCCTGAAACCTAATATGTAGACTAAGCTGGCTTTGAACTCACAGAGATCCACCTGCCTCTGTCCTTCCTATAGTGCTAAGACTAAAGGTATGCACCACCACAATGGGATTCTCAATTAAATTAAATTAAATTAAAAATCATAGAATACCACTTTTGTGTGTATGTGTGTATGTGTATGTATATGTATGTATAACATTTATGCCTGGTGCCTGAGGAGATCAGAAGAGGGGCTCAGGTCCCTTGGAACTGGCATAAGACATGTGCTTGCTGGGGATTGAACTTGGGTCCTCTGCAAGAGCAACAAGTAATCTTAACCACTGTAGGCCAGCTCTCTAGCCCCCGAATCATAAAATACTATTTAAAGGCAGGTTAATAAGAGCTGAAATTTTTGTCAGTCAGTAAACTGTAGCTGATTTTTTTTTTTCAATTTAGTTTTTATTTAAAACATTGTTTTCCTCTGTACTTGGGTTAAATCACTTTCCCCCACTTTTATTAATAGGGTTAGATTCTTTGTCAGAGTCTGCTTGTCATTCTGGGGTTCTTCAACCTCTTAGTTGGCTTATTATAAGTAACTACTGTCACGTAAAAGTTCACATTTTTGGGTAGTAACATTTATTCTAGGTCTAATTGAAACAAAATGAGACACACATTGGTCGGTTTTCTCTACCAGGTATCATTATCTGTGAATGAAACCAACTAAGGGTAAATATAATGGGCAAAAAATGTGTATTGTATAAGCATTCTCATTTCCTAAATAATATCCACATAGTGTTACGAGCAGCTTTCCTGCCAACCTGGTCTCACTGCTACGCCAGCCCCAAACAGCACACAGAGACACTGTATTAGATATAAAGCTGTTGGCCTGTTACTAGCATTTCTTATTGGCTAGCTCTGTCTTAAATATTAACCCATTTCTATCAACCTAAGTATTTCCACATGGTCTTATCTTACTGGAGAGAGGGTTCGGACCTCTGCTCTCAAGTCTCTAATGTTGAATCTCCTCCCATCTCTCCTTCAATCCTCCTTGTCTCCTAGTCCCACCCCTCTTGCTTTCCTATTGGCCAGCAGTGCTCTATTCATTAACCAATATGAGAAACATATTTACAGAATGACATCTCCCATCACACATAGTATCAGTATTGTGTTAGGTGTTGTAAGTAGTTTAGAGATGGTTTTAAGTACATGAGAACAATGTGTGGTAAGATAAAGGACTTGAACATCTACCAATTTAGGTATCAGTGTGGATTCCTGGAGCCAGTCCCATGATAGGAGAGACAACTGTGTTTGAGTGCTAGGGTTTCAGACTCAGGTCACTGCACTGATTTCTATGTGTGCTGATGTTTGCAGGTGAAGAAAGCCAAGATGCAGGAACCAGGAGAACAAACTTTAAGGTATTTATAAAACTGTACTTCTCTTAAATGGTCTGCTTACATTTTTATCATATGCTGGTTAGTACAGGGTCATGCTTTCTGTTGACTACTACCTTTTTGGTTTTTACCTTTACATTTAGAAATTATTTGGATTCAGATTAAAATTTCTCTTCAAAATAGGATTGATTAAACACCCAAACCAGAGACTAGTTTGGGCAACATAGCATACCCTATCTCAAAAAAGCAAGGAAAAAACATCTTTTCCAAAATAGCTTTTCCGCTAATACTTATGCAAGGCTTTTGTTGTTGTTATGCTTTCATTACTTATTAAACAGTATATACTGAGTTCATTTTATATATATCAGGCATTTGTGGAGAAACTCATAAATGAAAAATGGTGTATATATTCTTTGGTCAAATGTACAGTATAAAGAGGAAAAGAACAAAGTAAGGAAAATACAAAGATTTTGGCATTAATTACCAATTGAGAATGTGATACCCTAGAAGTTGGTTCTACTCCTAGAATGAAGGTGTCTTTTTAGCACCTCACGTTTTGTGTTCAGTGTCATTTTTTCCCCCTGGAGTTTTACCTCCTGTCTGTTGTCCACTAACCATCTGAGCCAGTAACTGCACCATTTCCAACATACAGATTTCAAGAATGCTATTTTACTACCACATAGACCACTACAGGTCATTTACCCTGCAACTGCCACTCTGGCCATGTATCTCTTGCTTCCACCTTAAATTCCTAGCCTATTTTCTCTATTACCCACTGGCCATTCTCTCAAAATGGACTTCAGTTTCTTTCTTATACTAATTAAATTATAAGATGTACTACTGTGGGGTGGTGGTGGCCCACACTTTTAATCCCAGCACTTGGGAGACAGAGGCAGGTGGATCTCTGAGTTCGAGGCCAGTCTGGTCTACAGAATGAATTCCAGGACAGCCAGGTCTGCACAAAGATTGTCTAGAAAAAAAGCCAAAAAAAAAAAAAAAACCAAAACAACTACTATAGTCTTTCCCTTGAAAATACTAGTTTCCTCCACTTTTCTATGCTTACCAGCAAAAGTACATCTAGCCGTTCACCTATGCTATGCATATTTCCAATCTGCTTGCCAATAAAACCATAGCTTTGTTTAAACTGACATTATTCATCTATTCCCTTCCACCATAACACTGTAATAGAACAGCACAAAACTGGCTCAACTTAGTTTCCATCCAAATAGACAGACACACAGACACCCTTCTCCATGCATCTGATGTCCCAGTGTCTAAAATCATCATCTTATGTCTTTCTTCCTTTCATCTTTGCCTCCTGTCTTCTCCCTTTCTCTTTACTTCTCACTATTTTTATTCACTCAGCTAGGGAATTTGCCACCTATTTCAAGACAAGTTAGACATTAAAAAGAAGTATCTTGCTTCTCAGCAAATCTATTGTGGATATTTTCTGCTTCCTTTTCCTGGGAAGTCAGTTCTCTTGTGTGGTTCAGAACTTGCCAACTCTGTCTTTTCCCGAAGTTCTCCCTTTCCCTTTGGTTAAGTTTTATATCTATGGCTAAGTATCTTTAACATAAAATTTACCACTAACCTTCTTCCTTTGATAAAGCCTTAGTGTGTAGGCCATCCTGGCCTTTAACTCGTGACCCTTATCTTCCTGATTACTGAGATTTAAAGACTGCTTTAAACCTTCCCCTCCATCTGCCACACTAGGGATTGAATCCAAGGCTCTGTGTATGCTAGGAAGGACTCTATCACTGATCTACACCCCGTAGCCCTTAAAACATTTTCAGAAGTGTAATTCAGCATTAGTGTATACATGAACTTGTGTGACCACCGACACCATCCATCTCTTTAACTTTGTCTTCCACGATGAGACTTCATACCTGTTAAGCAAAGCTTCCCTTTACCCCTGTCTCTTTGTTCCTAGCCTTCCATTCTACTTTTAGTTTTTGTGAAATTAGTCTGTGGGATTGACTATTCTTAAAAACTTCATGTAAAAGACTATAAGATTATGTATATTATAAAAATGACATACATACTATAGCATGTATCAGAATTTCCTTCCTTTTAAAGATGAATCATACTTCTACTTTCTCCCTTTTTTCTGTCATAGATGATTGACAAGAGTTCTGTTGAATGAGAAGATATTAGGGCTTTTTTTTTTTTTATGAAGTTTGAGTGTTTTTCTTTCTATTTTTATTTTATTTATTTATTTGGTTTTTTGAGGCAGGGTTTCTAAGCGTAGCCTTGGCTGTCCTAGAACTCACTCTGTAGACCAGGCTGGCCTCAAACTCACAGAGATCTGCCTGCCTCTCCTCCTGAGTGCTAGGATTAAAGGTGTGTACCACCACCACCACCTGGCAGTCATTTTTATTTTTTAAGCAACTTTTTTGTTAAGCAAAAATTTACATTTATATGTTCTGAAAAGTAATATTTTCAGGCAGTATGGTACTGTGTTTCTAATCTGTACATTTTTAGTTGAATATGTAGGGGATTTTGCTATCATAAAATTCTAGAATCATACTAGAATCAAAGGCCTTTTGGAACTGGTGTGCCCAGTGTGTATGAGGACATATCACTTCTATGTTCAGGATCTAAAAATAGTCTCCAGCAGTGACTTTAACTTTGAAACTCAAGAGTTTTCCAAGTACACAGAAAAGAAACTGAAACTAGCATTGCAGCTGGAAATGTGAATTTCTGGCCCAGTTTCAACTTCTTTCTTATGTGGATTCTATTTAAATTGGTATGAGCTGGGACTCAGAATTCAGGGCACTCTGAGTTAGCATGTTGGTTTGTACCTGTTTTACTAGTCCATGCCATTTCTTTCCTTTCCCCTTTAATTCCCATAGTTATAACTTGGATAGTGAATTGCTATTTCAAAAGTCTAATCATTTGAGCAGAGATAAAATTGAACTGTGTTTGAGAATTTAACTTTAAAAATTTCCGGGCTGGGGAGATGGCTAAGCCATTAAGAGCACTTGCTATTGCGGAACAGGATTTTGTCCCCAGCATCCATACAGTGACTTACAACTGTTTATAACTCCAGTTCCAGGGGATCCGATGATCCGATGCCCTCTTCTGACTCCATAGGTACCAGGTACACACACAGTCCACATACATGCATGCTGGTAAAACTCTCATATACATCCAAAAAAAAGTTGGTGGGTTTTTGTTTGTTTGTTTGTTTCAACTAAATGTATTAGGTATGGTGGTGCATGCCTCTAATCCCGGCACTTAGAGGCAGAGGCAGGTTGATATCTGAGTTTGAGTCCAGTTTGGTCATTATATCAAGTTTCAACCCAGGTAAGGATACATAATGAGATCCTGCCTGTGAATGAATGAATAATGAATGAATGTACTGACATTCAGAATATACCAGAAGAAAATTCTTTATTAATTAATACTTGGATATTAGAGGTTAGCTTTACATATTACATATTACATCTACAATGTTGCTATGTAGAAACTACTTTCACTTCCGATTAGGCATTTTATCCTCAGCTGTTGAGCCTCTGGTACAGTAGCCTTTATCTCTCCCTAGGGGAGAAAGGCTTCTGTCAGGGACCATAAATGTGGGACGTGTACATGGGCTGGAACCAAGAAATAGAACAGCCGTGGTTACTGTGTGTTTGTTATGTCTGGACTTTTTTGTATTGCCATTATCCCTATCATCCAATGAAGTGGGCTCTGTTTGTGTCTTCCTGTCAAACTGAAGCCTAGAGATTTTGTCCAAGCTGTACAGCTAGTTATTGAAAAAGGAGATTATGAACTTGGCACTCTAGCTCTAGGGCTTACACTTGATAATAAACTTAGCTCATTTTTTGAGAAAGGGTCTCACTGTGTTGTGCAGACTTGCCTTAAACTAATTTTGTAACCCATACTGACCTCAAACTTCTGATAAATCTGCCTACCTCAGCATCCCAAGTACTAGATTGTGGTAGGAAGTAATGGAATAATGAGACTTAAAGGCAAAGATAAGGAAGAAAAACTACAAGACTCAACTTGGAGTCATTTCCATCCCAGAATTTTAGTGGTATACTCACAACATTGTAGTTTCTATTGTAATGACCTAATCTTCCTTATTTACTGCTGGGCATTAGTGGTTCACATCTTTAATCCCAGCACTCTGGAGACAGCCAGGCAGGTCTCTGTAAGTTCCAGGCCAGCCTGGTCTACATACAGAGCTAGTTCCAGGACAGACTCCAAAGCAATACAGAGAAACCCTGTCTTGAAAAAACCAAAAACCAAAACCCAAACAAACAAAAAAACTTCCTAATTTATATTTACCTTTCTTAGGGTTAAAAGAAAACAAAATTATAGTGTTTGCCTAACACATTAATCACTGATGCTACAGATAGGTAGGTAAGTAGGCAGACAGACAGATTGAGGTAGTGTACCGGGCATTAACTTTGTTGGTATTACTTTTGTCTCTTTGTGGCTTTGAGCTCCTGATCTTTCTGCCTTGCATCTTCCTAGTGTTGGGATTATAGGTGTACAACACCACACCAAACTTAATTTTTCTTAATAAAAGAGAATGGTTTTAAGTTTCAGAACTCCTCCTTTAGAACAAACATTTAATCTTCAAAACCTTCTAATTAAGATTTGTAGCTGATGACGACCCACCCTCTCTAATTACACATCTCCCTACTTTGTTATATTTTTAACCAAAGTAACAGATACACAAAATTGTATGGGAATATAGTACTGTGTCTTTCAAAATTGCCATAAGCATAGATTTCATATGTCTTTACCACAAAGAATAAGCACAAAGAAGGACATGAATTGAACATGAATGGCAGCAACTCATTCAGGGGCTAATATATTTGTTTTGATTCTCCTAGTCAAGTAAACAACCCGGATGCCAGTGATCAGAAGCCTGAGACATCCAGCCTTGCAGCAAATCTTAGTATGTCAGAGGAAAGTAAGTACCATGTTTTATGCACAGTGAATGTGGTATTTCTATAACCAAGGGATGTTATTCTTGTATAATGGGGTGTCACTGAGTGTCTGGCTTGTCCAGAATATCTAGAAGGCTCTTCTCCCCATGTTCATACATGTACTGTGATAAGCATCATTGACATACCAGCTAAGGACAAGTATCAAGGAATGTCCTCATCCAAGGAGTTATACTCAGTGACTTTATTTTTGGTTGGAGGTTGAATTTCTAAAAGTAGTAGCATTTTATTAAAATTTAAAAAGCCTGTGGGCTAATGCCTGACTGATCCTAAAAGAGAATTTAAACAAAACCAAAATAAAACCAAGTAATCCTACCTGTCAGTCAAATGTTCATCCTAAATCCCAACCTTAATTTAACTCAATTCTCCCTCTTCTCTATAAATGTATACAAATAACTAAGCATTATTGGCTGGAATTACATACTTAACTGAGTAGGTACTCCTCATCATAACCACAGGGCCTCAGGTGAGTACTCAGTTTTTGGGAAGCCTTCTTTTCTCTGCTGAGCTTTGCCTTTTAATTTATAGCACCTCTTCTCTCAGAACATCAGTTCACTCTCACCTTTCCCCCTGCTTAACTGTTGTCTTCTTAAATAAAAGCCCCACGCAGGAAGTCCCCTTATTCACTGCCCCATCTGCAGGCTTCCCTTTGTTTGTACCCATCCTGTCTTGCTTCCTCCTTGTTAGAACATAGGAGTATTCTTGCTCTTGTCAAATCTAAATCCTTTTACTTACATTCTATACCCTCTCTGGCCTTCCTCAAGACTTGGTGTGATGATGATCCCACCTCTACGCCAGCATCCTCACATTCTTTTTCTTAATTGTTGTCATAAAGAGGTGTGCTCTGGTATCTGCCATCTTTAGAAGGCAACAAGAGCTCTTTGCTCTGCATCTTATGTGATTTATAGATGTTCTCTGTGTTTCATGATACATCACAACCTCTGAAAGGAATTGCCTTTGCTTGCTTCCCTCCGCCTGTTTACCCCTCAGCTGATTGACTTAGCTTCTGTTGTCTCTTCCCATGAAATTGTTTGGCAAGGTCCTCAGTTGCTGTCATATTGCCAGTTATAGTAGACACTTTTCTTCCTCATATTCTCCCTATCAGCCTGTTTCTTCATACTTTTCTCCCCTTAATAACCCTTCTTCTAGCTGTACCTTGATGTTAGGAGGCCTCAGGTTTGGGTTCTAGGCTACCATCCTCTTTGGGGATCCTCCCATCCATTATATTACTTAATTTGAAAAAGGGTTTCTCTATGTAGTCCTGGGTGGCCTGGAATTTATTAGATAGACCAGGCTGGCCTTGAACTCACAGAGATCTGCTTGCCTCTGTCTCCTGAGTTCTAGGATTAAAAGCCTGGGCCATTAGGCCCAGCCCACATTTTTATTTCCAGTCTAATTTCTTTGATTTCATTTGTGTAGTCAGTTGTCTATTTGAAATCTCTAGTGTCTGAAAACAGTGTTATAAGTACTATGTAAGAAGCTTTTGTCTCTTTTAACTAATCAGATTTTCTCCTCTCCCAAACATACCCATTTTATGATGTTGTGTTACTGTCCCACCGTCTGTTTAAATGACAAACCTGGAAGTCACCCTGGCTTCCTTATCTCATACATTGGAGCTTATTAGAATGATGTGTTAGTTATACCTTCACTCTGCCTCATCCTCACTGTTGTTTCTGTAGTCTTAAGACAATAGACTACTTTTTAAATCCCCTATTGTATAATAACAGGTGATGCCCTGGCCTTGTAATAAACTCCAAACGAGTTTGTCATTGGAGAAGGGGTAGACAGGATTGAATACCTGTTAGCCCAGGGGAATCCATCTTGCAAAATTTGAATGACCCTACCTCATGTTCTATGGTGGATAAGATGTTTACACCTAATAGATATCACCTTCATTTCTGCCTATCTGAATATAGATGACAGTGATCTTCACATATTTAATAATCTTTTAAAGACCTCAAATAATGGCATTGGACAATTTGTCTTACTTTTGGGTGGAATTGGCCCCTCTTCTTTGGATTTTTCCTTTCTGTGTGAGTCACTCTTTCAGGGAACTTGCTAGATAAAAGCCAGTAGTTCGTCTTCAGTTCATCATTGCAACAGAACAGTTCCTACGTGATATTGAAGGAAGTCTAACAGTTCAGGAGTCTTGTCAAAGAATGTATGGTGTCGCTATAAGTGTAATGAACTGAAGTAGTGCCTAATAATGTGGCTCAGGCTCTCATCCCAATTGTGACTTAGGACCACGCTCCATTAGCAGCTTTTTCTAGGTAAAGTCATGGAGGGCAGGAGGACACCAGGTGGAAAAGTCCTTCACTACGGGTCTTAGAGACTGCTTGGCGGACTTTAAGCCTAATACAGAAACCTGCTCCTGTCCATGCTGCTGTTGTTTCTGTATAGCAATAGCAATAATTTCTAAATGAGATTGGGCACTTATACAAAATTTGTCTCACAAGTTGTTCCTAGGCCTTTTCATAGAGTAAGCATCTGAATCTAAAGGCAACAAAGCAGCATCTTTTGATTTCTTAGATATGGGTTTGGCTTTCTAAGTTCGTTCGTGAGCGTGGCTAAGAGTCTAGGGAATTTAGCTTCATAGATAGTTATGAGAAAGTGGGGATTAGTTGGTTTATCTTCAGATCTTTTCAGTGTTCATCTATCCCCCTCTGTCCTGTCTTTCTTCTTTTACTGCCTCTTACATTCTACAGACAGTTCTGTAAACAGAAATGAGGTGTTTTCTGCTATGTAGTCTTTGGAACTTTTTGGCATCCAGTCTGTGTGTACATTACTCACTTTGAAGGACTATACAGTAAGATATGTTTTCCATTTGATTTTTTTAAATGTTCTAACTTTTTTTTACCTGATAATATCTTTCTTTCAGTTATGACATGCACCGATTACATCCCTCGCTCATCCAATGATTATACCTCACAAATGTATTCTGCAAAGTAAGTTGAATAATTATTTCCAAACTTTTCTCTAGGCTCATTGCAAAATTTAATATTTAACTATTTTTACTTCCCTTATTCTCTATCCTCACTTCAGTTTTTATCACATCTAAATAAAATCTCTCATCCTTATAAAAATCAGATGTTGCTAGAATAGATTACTATTACATGGGAACCCACTCTAATTGAGTAGGCACTCAAAATGTAGAGTACTGATCAAAAAGCATGTTAGTGATCTGATCATTTCCTTTCTCTACATTGACATATGGATCAGTAAAAGCAACTCAGATGGCTCCAGATTGGCAACTACAGATGATTGAGCTTGAAACAAGACAAGTGTGATGGGTTAAAGTTACAAAGCGCTCATTTTAGGCCTTCACAGCATAGGGTCAGTGTTTAAGACCAACCAGGTCAGTCCTCTTGAAGGTGGGTAGGGTGCAGACAGTGTTTGTACAAAGTTGCAGTTGTGTATTATTGAAGACTGATCTTTCCATACACAGACCACAGTTGCACACATTAAACTAGGAAGTACACGCTGGTTTAATGAGCAAATATCAGGTTCATGGAGAAATTGATAACTAGAGGTGAGAGATCCCTGAGTCTGTTACGAAAAGGAAACTGGCATTTTTTCCCCTTGTTGTACCCATTTATTTATACCTTTAGTTAAAAAAAAAATAAGCTGACTAAAATCTCCCACTTTCTGATGTTAATATTAATGTCTTCTTGGGTCAGTCATTCTCATGTGGTTTTCTCCTGTGGTGTGGTTAACACTGTCTTCTGGAAGCATTATGGGGAGGTTTTCCATGGCATAGGAGTGTCTACTGTTTTGACATGTCATCTACAAATGTACTAGGTCTTGTGCACAGCTATTCTGGGATGAATTCAGCATGTAGGTCACAGACTGAGCACACCTAGATTAGATGCTAAGTGTAAAACACATGTCAACTCTGCAAAGCTTTCTGATATCCAAGTTGTACTGTGTTAGTTTGAAAGACTAGCAGATGAGATAATGCATCTTCTCCTTACATTTTTGAAATACTCTCATTTCATTTTTGAAATATTTTAACTCTATCCTGGTGATAATTATCTGTAAAGGCATATGGGAAAAAGAGACTATGGTCTTTACAATATCTGGAAATTGGCTGTTTTGAGAAACTACAATTTCAAAGTGTTCTTGTGTGACTTGAGCAGTAATAGTTGTCTAAACTATTTTCCAGGCTTAGATCTGGCTAATGCAGATCTCTGAGACTGTTGAAACATGATTATGTTGCATACCCCAAATCCATCCCTAATGTGTGCATAGCTGCTAAATTCAGATTCTTTATTCAGGTGTGCCTTTTCCCTTCATTTTCACCTCCTCACCACTTACTCAACCATTGCATTAAAACCCTTGTTTTACTAGACCTCCATTCCAAACCATTTTAGAAAGCAGTGTGACATGAGTCTTTATTAAGGAACAGTTCACCTTACTCTAACACAGCTCTGCTCTTGCCATTCTTTGTTCTAAGAGTCCGGAGCCTTTCTCTTGTTTCGGATTTGTTCAAACTCTAGCCTGGCACTCAGGGCCATGCTTCTCTCTACTTTTTGCACGCTCCTTTCCTTTCCTTTCTGAATGTACCTCCCTTAGGATTAGTATCAGACATCCTCTAGATAGGAAACCCTTGCTCGCCTTTCTGTGTTTCTTTGCTAGGGCTGTGCTCTTATCCTGGAATACCCGTCTCTCATTTGCATACAGCTTACCTGCTCTGCCCCCTGCTGCTTTTTTCTAGCCTTCTTTTATCATCTGCTTCTCCCAAAGGTGATTTTTTTTGGGGGGGAGAGCATCTTTTCACTTGTTAAGGCATAACCCTCCTACCCCATATTTATTAAGGCTTTTATGGTATATAATAACACTTTTTCTCACAGCATATTATGCCAAATAAAATAACTAGAATTACACACAGGGTATAGTAGAATGGATAAACTGCCAAGTCAGAAAGCCAGGGTGAAGTCTCAGAAGTTTCACTGGTGAATTTGATTCCCTGGCTGTCCATGGTGTAACTGGCACCAACTAGTGGCAATGTGCTGAAGCTTACCATGACTTCTGGGGTCTGTTAGCCAAACTGGCTCCAGTTTGACTGATGAAGACACACGGCACACACTTCTTTGATGTGGTTGCTTTTCCATGCTCCATCAGCCTCCCATTCCTTGTCTTAGAACTGCAGTTGGCTCAACGCTTAGATGAAGAGTAGGCCAGCTGCTCATTCTGTCCTGTCCATTCTTCCATTGTTGCTTCTAACGTGTTGCTTCTGTTTTCTGAGAAAGGGTCTTAAGAGGCCCAGGCTAGCTTCAGGCTCACAACATAGTGAAGGGTGACTGAATTCACTCTGTAGTAAAGGATGGCCTTGAGCTCCCAATCTTCCTGCCTCCACCTCCCAAGTGCTGGGATTACAGACTTGCCCCACAATACTGAGTTTATGTGGTGATAAGAACCAAAAGCTCTACCAACTAGGGAAGCACTCTACCAACTATGTCCCCAGCCCAGATTTTTCATTATACATAGGGTATAAATAAGTAATCCTCACTTGGGGATTAAATAAATATCTCGTTTAGGGTCTTGCATGTAATACAGTTAGTTATTTGTAGGGTAATAGCTAGAACTTGGGAAGATGTTTAAAACTATTTGATTTTTCATAAAATTATTTCTTGGAATGAGTAATGGAAAAACTTGTGTTTTCTGACCATAATAAGAGTTATTTTGTCATGGAAACTTAATGTCTTCATTCCTGGATTCCTTAATATCACTGTTTATCTATTTTCATTAACTCAAATGAGCCACAGACAGAAGTTGTCATTTTCTATATTTTCCTAGACCATATGCACATATCCTCTCAGTTCCTGTTTCGGAAACCGCTTACCCTGGGCAGGCTCAGTACCAGACACTGCAGCAGCCTCAACCCTACACTGTCTACCCTCAGGCAACCCAAACATATGGACTACCTCCTTTCGGTAAGATGTCTATTGTGAGCAGCTCTTAAGAATGTTTCCACCACTCAGAAGCTTGTGTTCCTCCTCAGAAAATAAGCAAGGCTGACCAGGAAAGAAGAAGATACTTTATTTTTTATAGGCCATTTACTCAAGTGTATAGTAGCTGTGTTTACAGCTTTCCATAATTATTTAGTTACTTACTAAAACTTGACTATTTCCAAGGTCTTTACTCTGAAACGTGGGTCATTTCGGCCCCCAAATGCTTAGGTTTGTACTCAGGCCTTCCCTGTCATGCTAAGCTCTCAGACACTAAACTATGTTCCCCAAACTTTATTGAAACAGAATCTTGATACAGGTGTTCAGGCTGGTCTTGAACTTGCTGTGTAGCAAAGGCTATCTTAGAAGTTTCAGTACTTCTGCCTCAGTTTCCTGAATGCTGGGATTACGGGTGTGTGCTATCCCACCCAGCTAGAAGCTTGGAATCATTGGAAAACTGAGGAATTACCATTGATTTGACTTACTGTATATAGAACATAGTACCATGCTAAAGTGAATATAGTAAGTATATTTTGAGGTGACCAATTTCTGCTAAAATCATGTAGTCTATTTAGACTACGTCTCATGGTAGGTTATTATGTATTGTTTATCATTGCTGTGTTCTGTGTTTTGTTTTGGCCAGTTTTTCTCTCTTCTCCCCTACCTCTCCTTCCCAAAGCTGATCAGATGTTGCTCTGATGAACCAAAGTGCTTTTAGAAGGGAAGACATCTGAAGCCATATGCATAGGGAGTCGTTTTCATTAGTTTTACATATCTTGGATATAAACTAAATCAAAATGATTTACTGGAGGTTAGTTTGAGGGTGAGCGTTTAATATCTGTGTTGTTTTCTATACATGTGTAAATTGATAGATATTGTCTAGCCCTAGTTTTAAAAATTATTTTAATACTAATTTAATTTCTATGTTAAAGAAGTTATGTTTTGGGGCGCTGAAGAGAGATGGCTCAGTGGTTAAGAATACTTACTGCTCTTGCCAGAGACCCAAGTTCAGTTGCCAGTACTCTGTTCACAACTTTCTGTGACTCCAGTTTTAGAGAATTCAGGTACCCCCTTCTAACCTCCTTGGGCACCAGGCATGCATATAGATATACATGCAGGTAAAATACTCATACACATAAATAAATCTAAAAAAATTTTTTTTAGTTAAAAAAAATTATGTCTTTGAGATTTCATTTAAACAAGCTAAGGTTTTTTGTTTTTTGTTTTTCGTTTTTCGTTTGGTTTTTAATCTTCTAGAGAAGTTATTCCATAGATACTGGGTGTTTTAATGTGCCTCCTTTTAGTTTCTCCACTCCTAATTTTGTTGGTTTACTTGGCCAGTGTCTAGTTTACTGACATCTGTCTAACTTTTAGGCTTCTTAGCATTCTCTGACTCTTTGGTAAATGTTCAAAAGAACTGAGGGTATTTGTGTGCCTTCTTGTTTTTCTGTGGTGGAGATGTGTCACATAGCCTTTTTCACACTACACAAACACTCTACCTCAGTCTTGGATTTTGAGACACTGTTTATAGCCAGGTTGATCTTTAATTCTAAATCCTCCTACCTTAGCTTCCCAAGTTCTGGAATTATATGTATGTACCACCATATATGGTTCCTAGGTGGTAATAATTCATCTATTTAGCTGTAACTCTAAACTCCATGAGGATCCCAGTATGTTCTGCTTACCATTGCAGCTGTCCATTCCCAGGATGCTCTACATATTGTAGGTGCTTAGCTTTAAAAAAAAAATTATTTATTGTTGACTTCATGGTGCACACCTTAAATCCCAGCACTTGGGAGACAGAGGCAGGTGGATCTATCTCTATGAGTTTGAAGCCAGCTTGGTTTACAGAATGATTTCCAGGACAGCTAGGTCTACACAGAGAAACCCTGTCTCAAAATACCACCAACAATAACAAAAACAACCAACCAATTGTTAAGTAACCTCAAAAGGTGCTCTGTGTGTCCTTTATTACACTGTTCTTTATAGTCATTGCATTAAATAGAGCTCTTCTGAGAAAGCATTGTTAGAAAGGATAATTGGTAATATTAAATGTCTGTAATCTATTGTAATTGGAGGCAAGAGAAACTTACATAGATTATCCTGTGAGTAAATGAGAGGAAAAAATTGATTATTTTGACTTGATTTGACTTTTAAGTGATATGTGTGACTTACTACTAAAAGATTTAGATTAGAGGCAATGTATATGATAGATGTATTTCTTCTTTTTTTTTTTCCCCAGGGAAATAATACAAGATATTTGCAATATATTAGCACACACGTGTGAGTGTGTGATGTGCTGTGTGTGTGTATGTATGTATTTATGTGTGTGTGAATATGCCTGTAAGTCTACTCAAGCCAGGTCATTGAGATCCTTCTCTGTCACCCTGTGGCCCAGTCTCTCTCCTGAACCTGGATCCTGCCTTTCAGGGTAGACTGGAAGTCAGCAATCCCCAGAGGTTTCCTGTTCTTGCCTACCCTAACCCTGAGACCAGGCACATACTGAAGCCATGTTTAGATTGTTACATGGGTATGGGACTGCAGACTCAGGTCCTCATGACTGAATAACACAACACTCTTACTTAACCACTGAGCCATCTTTCTGGCCCTTATTTATAACATTTCTTAAAATTACTGTATCTTTTCTGTTTGAGTTTTGTGTGCATGTGACTGCAAGTAAGAGTCAGTTCTCTGCTGCCACCTTGTGGGATCTGGGGAAATGAAACACATGTTGTCAGGCCTGTGTGTAAATGCTTCCACCTGCTGAGCTCACAGGCCTTCTCTTTGCCTTTTTGAAACAGGGTCTCACATGCATCAGACTGGCTTTGAATTCTGTGTGTATTTTGAATCTGGCCATTAACTCCTAATCCTTCTGCCTCCACCTCCCAGATGTTGGGATAACCCAGCCTAGTTTACTATGCCATTTTCTTGGGACCTGCCTTTAACAGTCATTTGCTTGGTACCATCGGGATAACCCAGCAGATAGAGCCCTTGAAATACAAGTCTGACAGCCAAAGTTTGATCCCTAGAACTCACACATAGGTAGAAGGACATAACCAGTTCCGTAAATTGCACTCTGATACCCACAAATGTGTGTGTAAGAGGGTATACACATGAGTATATTGAAATTTAATACATGACTCTCTTTGGTATTATATTTATTTATATATAAAAATTCTTCTTTTTATTATTATTTGTATTTTCACTGTGTAGTCCCTGCTGTCCTGGAACTGCTGTTAGCCATAATGGCCTTGAACTCACAGAGATCTGGTTGCCTCTGTCTCCCAAGTGCTGGGATTGAAGGCGTGAGTCACCACCTCCTGGCAGAAAATGATTCTTTTGAAGTCAGAGTTTAAGTAGGTTTGTTACCTTAGTGCTGTTTTCAGGTTAACTAGTCTGTTAATATATTTCATATATAAGTAGACTTTTGAAAAATGTCATTATAATTACAGCTAGCCATGATGGCTTACTTCTATAATTATAGTACTCAGGAAACGGAGGCAGGAATATTGCCATGAGTTTTGTCAGCTTGGGCTACATGGAATCATGCCTCAAAAAAAACAAAAACAACAACAAAAAAACCACACACAACAACAAACCCTAAATAAATAAATTTTCATTATAATTGTATTTTTAAATGTTTACTGTAGCTGGGCAGTGATGGCCCATCACTTTAATCCCAACACTCAGGCCAGCCTGATCTATAGAATGAGTTCCAGGACTACACAGAAAAACCCTGTCTTGGAAAAAAAACAAAAAGCAAAAAACTGTCCACAGTATCAAGCAGTAAGTTAGAATAGGACTTCACATTTTATATTATTGTCTCATTTAATCCTTAAAGCAGTTTTTAATAGCAAGTAGTAACATTGTCCCCTTTCAGCAACTAAAGTCATAAAGTTAGTAAATGCTTAGGGTTAGATTTAAGCCTGGGACTGATAAATTCTTCCAAATTTTGGTCTGTATCAAAAAGATGGTCTCAGAGGTCAGCTTGAAATCAGTGTCCTCTTTTTAAAATATGGGGAAAAGCTAGAAGAAACCTAGAAAAGTTGCTAGGGGTCTTTAGTCACATACTTTCCAGAGGTGTAGGAAGTTGGGTGATGGGATAGGAAGGGGTCTGGAAGCCTGGTGTCTGCTAAACTGAGGAGTGAGTGAGGACAGGATGCTGCTTTACTTTCAGAGGCTCACACCGAGTGGTTGGAGCTGGCACTATCTGCTTATTTGAAAGAACTTGGTATGAGGTGGAAGACTTAATGATGCGAATTAAGAATCCACTCCATTTCCTGAATCATATTCCGTTCTAGAAATTTATCAAAAAACTTAGAAACATATACATGTGCATTAGAAAAGTATATGTTAAATTGCTGTGTGTCCCAGCTGGGCGTTGGTGTCACATGCCTTTAATCCCAGCACTCGGGAGGCAGAGGCAGGTGGATCTCTGTAAGTTCGAGGCCAGCCTGGTCTATAGAGCGAGTTCCAGGACAGGCTCCAAAGCAATACAGAGAAACCCTGTCTTGAAAACAAACAAACAAACAAACAAATTGCAGTGTGTCCATGGAAAACTTAGTAGTCATTATAACGTATAATCTTTTAAAATGTTTATTAAGTTGATTTATTTTATTTTTATGAGTATGTATTTTGGCTCCACATACGTATATGTCACACATGCATGCTTGGTGCCTGTGGAGGTCAGAAAATAATATCAGGTCCCCAGTGGAGTCCCAGATAGTCTTGAGCCACCATGTGTGTGCTGGGAAATGACCCTGGGTCCTCTGCAAGAGCAGCCAGTGCTCTTCAATGCAAGGCCATATCTGCAGCCCCAATTTAATAGCCTTTTAATATTTATTTTTTGCGTTTCTGGCCTGGCATGATGGTACATGCCTGTAATCTCCATACTCAGGAGGACTGGCCTACCTGACATAACTTTGCCTCAGAAAGTGAAATACTAAGTAATAAGGCTAACAAGATATGCTTACTTGATGCATTGCTATAGATGAGATATTGCTTTAATACTGTGTGTTAATAAACACGTTAGGGTCTAAACCTATTTGGGAAGTACAACCACATTGCTTACAATAAATGTTTAAGTTATGTTAACATGTAAATGATAATTTGCTTAACAAAAATACATAATGCCAAACCACCAAGAATCATAGCACCAAGTCTTAACCTTTTACATGTAAAAAATAAAATAATGGCCCAGGGAGATGATTAGGTGGGAAAGAGGGCTTGCTTTTTAAGCCTAGAGATCTGAGCTCTGATCCCAAACACCCATATAAAAAGCCAAGTGTGGTATTGTGTGTATCTGTAACCCACACACTGGGGGGGTGGGGGACAGAGGCAGGAGGATCACTAGGGTTTGCTGGCTGTCACCCTAGCTCTGGGTTCATTGAGAGACTTGTCTCAAAGAGAAAGGCAGAGAGATAGGACACTCTGAGAGATTCGGATAATTCTTCTGCAATCCATTAGTGTAGTTAATTTTGGATGATAGTTATGTCTAACTTTTCTTTTTTCTAAGTTACATATTTCAAGATGTTTTTGTTTTTTTGAGACTGTGTTGCCAGGAAACATAGGCTGGCCTTGATCTCACAATCTGCATGTGTCAGCCTGCTGAGCACTAAGATTATAGGTGTGCGCCACCACTCAGCTAAGTTACAATTTTCAGGGTTTTTGTCTTATTTTGTTTTTTGAGACAGGGTCTCATGTAGCTGAGGATAGCCTTAAAGTTGCCATATAGCCATATAGCTATATGGCATTGAACTTCTGATCCTCCTGCCTTTGCTGGGGTTATAGACATGCACCACCTTGCCCACTTATTGTGGTGGAATTGAAACCAGGGCTCTTACATATGCTAAGCAAGCACTTTACCAACTGAGCCACCTCTGGGGCCTGTGTGATATTGTTAATCTTTTTTAAAAAGCAGGCATGTCTTTACTAATCTAAGACACAAGGTTTATAAAGTAATCAGTTTAAGAAAAAGATGTATCTAAGTATTTAGAAAACTTGCTTATTTCATTGGTAAGTGAATTTTAACTGACCTAGACCATCTCCCACCTTGACAGTTTGAATTTCTCATTGTACACTGACATCAGTCTTTCTGTATGACAAATACTCCAGTTTGGTGCTGTTAACTCTTCTGTATCCTGGTCAATTGCTCCAACTGTTGAGATACTACTATTGGGGTTTTAGCAAAGTTTTTGTCCCCATGACCCCATCTTCTAATTCTTTGAGAATGTATTTGCTTGTGGTATAAGTGAGAGAATCAGTAATTTCCTCCTACAAGCAAATTTGTTTTAAGATTTGGACTTTAAACCTACTAGCTGGTATTTAAAGCGTAGCCGTGCTCCTCGGCCCCATGTGTTGTTTGTAATTGGTCCACTTTATCTGATTCAGGTGCACTGTGGCCAGGTATGAAACCTGAAAGTGGTTTAATTCAGACTCCATCTCCAAGTCAACACAGTGTTCTTACCTGCACTACAGGGTTAACCACAAGCCAGTCAAGCTCAGCACATTATTCTTATCCCATTCAAGGTAAATAGGCATGGTTGTGTGTGTGTGTTATTTAATTTTTATCTTTTTTTTTTTTTTTTTTTTTTTTTTTTTTAATCTGCCCGTATATCCAGAAAAAAACTGGATGATACAGGAGCATCGTATTCTAAAGTAAAAGGAATGGCATGCATTTGTGCATGTTTTTTGTGTCAAGCAAATCCAAGCCAAAAGTGTGGTTTGTAAGTAGCTTAAGCTTTGAATGTGAGCTGCTGAGTAGAAGAAGCCTTCTCTTTTGCATGCTGATATCCAGAAAGCTTCTTTTGGTTTTGTTCTAGTCTGGTCTCAGTGGCATCTTCACATATAAGTTGGTGACTCCTTGAGTCAAAATTTGGCTGGCTTCTATGTGAATTGTCAGTGGAATGTGCTATGTGGACTGCTTTTCTGCTGGTGGCTTTGTGACCCCCCCCCCCTTATTTACTGCTTCTTGGTGAGAGTATTTCTTTATCAGGCTGAGGGTGCAGGTTAGTGGTGGAGTGCTTGCCTAGCAAGTATGAGGCACTTAGTTCCATCCCCAGCACTAAAAAAGGAAAAAAAGAAAAGTTGATTTTGTTTTTATTCGGGGTGAAATAACAACTTGTTTCCTGAGTTCTTTGAAAAGGGTAGAATTTTATAATCAAGATGAGTAGGCAAAAAGGCATTTTGATATTTAATTGCCTACTCTCCCAAATCATTGTTCTAGAGTGGAAAGCAGTGTTCATGTACCTGGATTCTCATCTGTCTCCATGCTTCTGTTTCTGTTATTTGTTTTATAGCATTTTGTATTTCAGTCTTTATAAAATAAACTCTAAAGGGATGAGTACAGACACCAAAAACCTCTGTAGATAGGAACCTTGCTGATGGCAAAGACTTATTTTAACTCTTTCTGTTGGGATTGTTTGATTCTATAGCAACAGCTCTGGGCCACTTTATTCTTTGTTTTGGGTTTTTTTTTAAGATTTAATTTATTTTGTGTGTGTATATATATATATATGCATGTGCATGAAAGTACCCATATGGTGCTTACAGAGACCAGGAGATAACCAGGAGCTGGAGTTACAAGCTATTGTGAACTGCCCAACGTGGGTGCTAAGAACAGAACTCAGGTCCTCTGGAAAAGCAGTGAGTGAGTGTTCTTAACCACTGAGACATCACTCCGGCCCCTACTTTGTTCTTAAACTACCCTTACCTCCAGTTCTCAGTGTCCCCTTTCTTCATCCCTGCCTCCCTGTTTGCTTTCTTTCTAACAGGAGCCAACCAGGAGGAACAAAGCTTCCCTTGAACCTGTGGGCCTAATAAAAGAACCTCCTAACCCAGCCTGTTGAGGCCACCTGGGAGTAGCACATGCCACCATTTCTAACTTTGATGTTATCATCAAAGTTATAGGCTTTTGGGATCAGCAGTGACATAATCAGGTCCCTCTTAGGGATACACATAGGTCATGAAGGAAGAGAAGGAGGAGTAAGTGGGGTATAAAGTCTCCACTCTTCTGTAGTTGTGTTTTGAATTTAACACTAGCTTCTCTTCCCTTAGAAAATAAGTGGCATCAGCTTTGGAGTAAGCCAGAAGTCATTGCTGTAATGATCATGAAAGTATCTGTTGAATTTCATTAACTGCTGTCCTTACCTGTCATGTACTGGATATATATTTTTCCCTTTGATTCTGCTGCTTTCCCTTGGGTTTCTGTTAGTAATTACTGCTGATGTTTAGTGAGCATTTACTGTGTTGTCGGACATGGCTAGGTGTTACTCATCTTCACAACAACCCTGTAAGTATTATTAACCCCATTTTTCAGATGAGGAATCTAAGTAACTATTCATAGTCACCAAGTAAGTAATTAAGTCAGGATGGAGGTGGAACATTCTAACTCTAGAACATGAGTGTAATTTGTCTTTCAGGGTTGAAATCATGGTGTCAGTATCAACTAACAAATATCTAACTTTATTTTTCCTTCATTTATTGTTTATTAATCATGACATTAGTTATAAATGCTCAGCCTAGCTTAAGATGGTTTCTGGCCAGCTCCTTTTTTTTCCTGGCTGGTAGCTACCTGGTTTCTGACCCTAGGTGTGTCCCTCTCTTTCTCGTTTTCTTCTCCTCTCGTTCTTCTCTCTCGAGCCTAGATTTATCCTCCTATTTATTTTCTCTGCCTAGCTATTGGGCCATTCAGCTCTTTATTAGACCAGTTGGGTGCTTTAGGCAGGCAAAGTGAAACAAATGCAACACACCTTCACACAGTTAAAGTAATATTGTGCGGCATAATCAAATGGAATACATCTTTACAGAGTTAAAGTAATATTCCACAACAATATGTTGCTTACAGAACCTAGAAACTACCAGAAAGTCTTTTCCCACAAAGTGATTAAAATTGCTTAGGAGTCATCTATCTTGTGTACTGTTGTTTGATACGTCCTCTTGGGAAAAATGGATTAAGCCATAGTAGAGAAGAATGTGACTACTGATGAGAAACAAATACCATCTATAAGTTATTAAATGCATTTCATTTAGTTGTGTTTAGGAAAGGAATCCCTTAAAAGCCCAGTAAGGAAAGGGCAGGGAGTTGGGAATTCCGGGTGATTATTGACCACTGGGATTGTCGAGCCCACTGAACACATGGTCTAAACTCTTCTCTGGCCAAGCTGTTCAGCAGGCTGAGTTTGTGGCACGACCAGTGACAATTCTTGTCTAGACAGGCTTTCAATACAGTGCCCTTCGGAAGGGGAGGAACCTGGTTCTGGTCTGGCCAGAGTTCTTTTTGCTGCATTTTCTCCTGTCTGTCCCTACTAGAGGCTTCCATGGAGGATTTTGTCACTGGTCAGTTTGGTTCTCCTGGTGATGAGCACTTCGGTTGTAGACGACTGCAGTGGGAACCATGTTTCTCTGCTTAATGATAAGAAGAGTAAAAACTGGTGCCTCAATATGATTATTCCTGTCTGCCTGGGGAAAGCCCTGTGGTGTGTGCTAGTCTGGCTTAGAACCTGATGGGTTCTGTTACAAAAGGATGGAAAACTTAATCTGGTAGAATATATTTTTACCTGACAAGATGAGATATAATATTTTCTGTGTTTTGCAGGTTTATTGATAGTTTCTAAATAACACATCTTAGTGCTGTTTAAAATTTCTTTGTGTGTGTGTATGTGCGCGTGCGTGCGTGCGTGTGTGTGTGTGTGTGTGTGTGTGTGTGTGTGTGTGTGTGTGTACACGTGTACAAATTCCCCAATGCATATGTGAGGGTCAGAGGACAACGTGTTGAGAATCAGATCTCTGCTTCTCCCATGTGGGTACCAGGAATCTAACTCAGGTCATCAGTCTTGGTGGCAAGCAGCATTACCTGCCAAGCCATCTTGCTACTCCTTGAAGTGTTTTTTTTTGGGGGGGGGGAGGGTTGTTTTTTGTTTCTTTCTTTTTTTTAGGGTGGGGGGTCAAAATAGGGGTTCTCTGTAACCTTGGAGCCTGTCCTGGAACTATCTCTGTAGACCAAGCTGGCCTCAAACTCACGGAGATTCGTCTGACCACCACTGCCAGCTTCCTTGAAGTGTTTTTGGTCCACATTAATAACCCATTATTTGGATATAGTTCTAAGCATTTTAGAATTTGGAGAACTAGCTCTATTTCTCAAAGTAAAAATATCACTCCAGAGATATATAATTTGGGGCAAATGGCCATAAACGATAATACCACAGCCTAGGATTCACCAGAGCTCTACTGCAGAAAAGGTTTGGCTTAGTTCTGACTTTACTGGTGTGAGTGTGAGCTGCAAATTGTGTATACATCATTCTAGGACTTGAGTAGAAAGAGCAGAGGACTCAAGTAGAAGGAAACTTGCCAAGTGTTTTGATTCTAATCATGTCTCACTGATATGCATGCAAAAACAAGACAGGTGCTTGCATTTTTAAAAAATTATTATTGGAATTTATGTGTCTGTGCAGCATATATGTGCCTGGTGCCACAGAGGCTAGGACAGCCTATAGTTGCATATGATTGTGAGCCAGCATATAAGTGCTGGGGCTTGAACTCAGCCACACTCTTCACCACTGAACCATTTCTCCAGCTTCCAGCATTTGCCTCTTTAGCCAGTGTTCCTTGTCTTCTCAAAGATATGTTCAGTTAAAACAGATTATCTTTCCTACCTTTAAGCCATTTACATTAGATCTGAATTATCTCCTAATACTCTCAATCCTGTAGCTTCAAGCACAAACGCCAGCCTGATATCCTCGTCATCTGCAATTGCCAATATTCCAGCAGCAGCTGTGGCCAACATCTCAAACCAGGTACTGTGCCGCATTTGTTCATCCTCCTTAGTGTGATTCACCTGATGTTCACTACCTCTCTTCTTTCCATGGTCCGCTTGCCCATCTAAGAAATCACCAGGAATAGTGTAGACTGCTTGAGTCCTGTTGCTGGATGTCCTCAGAGCTCTCTGGCTTCTATTTCTTCCTCTTGTTCCTTGCTAATCCTCCCTGGAATATGTGTACTCCAAGTCTCAACCCTGTCCCCACTAGAGGGTGCCCTCAATGAAGGTCAGGGATTTGTCTATTTTTGTTCACTTTTATGTTCCCAGAGCCTAGACAAACCCCTGGCACTTGCTTATTAAAAGGCACTCATAAGTGTTGTGGGTGAATAAATACTACCTCCATCCATCCTCTCATTGTTTGTGATTTGATCTTTTTTTTTTTTTTTTTTTTTTTTCTTTTTCTTTTTTTGGATTTTGGTTTTTTGAGACAGGGTTTCTCTGTGTGGCCCTAGCTGTCCTAGAACTCACTTTGTAGACCAGACTAGCCTCAAACTCAAAGAGATCCAGTTGCCTCTGTCTCCGGGGTGCTGGGATTAAAGGTGTATGCCATCATGCCCAGCTGTGATTTGTTCACTGTTGCATTACTTATGCTTAAATGATCACTGTAGCATCTTCAGTGTTCCAGTTTGTTTTGGTTTTAACATGCTCAGACTTTCTCCGCTCACAGCAACTGCTGTGACCACTGCCGCTTCCAACAGCTGTTGTTTGGCTACAGTTTACCTCCTCTGATTGTCCTTCTGTGTCTCACTGTGTCTGTTCTTTCTTCAGGGCACATTTAACTGCCTTGGGATTGAGAGGGTACTATTTTGTTCTCGGTGGATGAGTTGTTATTTTGAAGTGGGGTCTCACCCTTGGCTGTCCTTACACAATCTCTTCTGTTTGTGTTGCCATTTCTGTGAAAATGAAGTCCAGGCCAGCCTCAAACTTGCATCACTCCTCCTGTTTTTCTCCTGACCTGAGTTCACATGCCACCACTGTGGTCCAGTGTTTTTGTTGAATTCCTACCTGTCCATCATGCAGCCTTGTGTGGGCTCTTTTCTTTCACAGCTTTTCTTTTTAGTCTTCTAAAGTGTTTAACGTAATTTACTTCTGAAGTGTGTTTGACCAAAACTCACAGGTCAACTTAGATGATGCATCTGTACTCATCTGCATTTTGAAAATCATTGATTTCTTAGGACTACTAGGTAGCTAGATAACTAAGAAGACAATAGTTTAGGAAAATAATTATGAATATTAGGGAAATATTGATGTTTAATAAGGTTCAGGAGAAACAAATAGGCCGAATAGATGTTTATTCACATAACATAGATGAACACCAGCAGGTTCCTGGTCCCAAGGATGCTCTTCTGTTCCCGTGCTGCAAGCAAGAGAGCTCTCCAAACCCCCACTTCAGCCTTAGTTCCCCCAGGTCATGGCCGGCCTTGTCTCCACCCCCAATGGGTGTGGTCTATGCCACAGATGGAGACAAGGTGAATATCTCACTATAGGGAAGAAAAAGCCTCTTGTGTTAATACCTCTTGTAATAGTCGTGTTTTCCTCCCTTTGGTCCACAGGACTATCCTACCTATACTATTCTTGGACAGAATCAGTACCAGTCCTGCTACCCCAGCTCCAGCTTTGGAGTCACAGGCCAGACTAACAGTGATGCTGAGAACACTGCATTAGCAGCTACCACGTACCAGACAGAGAAGCCTAGTGCTATGGTACCTGCACCAACCACACAGAGACTTCCCTCTGGTGAGTTCAGAAAGCTAGATGAAGGACACTTCAACTGTGTTTCCAAGTGATGGTAAAAGTGATTTTGTCCTGGGACTATGATGAGAAACTGGCAGAATGTCTATAGATGCTGAGAACAGAAAAGTGCCGGCAGTGAGGCGGTTTCTAGTGCATACTCTGCCCTCCCAGTAAGTGTAACACACTCAACAGGGTGTATTTGTTGAAGGTTGCAGGGCTCCAGTTTTAATCCAGGCATGTCTCTCTGCGTCTCGACATTTCTTTAGGATTCCAAAAACAGCTATAGTCCTTTCCCAACAGTCGTAACATTTGACTCACAAGGCACTGGGAAGCGTGACTGCCTGTACTGCCAGCAGCAGCCTGAGGAGATCCCTTCCACTGAGGGACTTCTCACTTGTGTAAAAACCAATTCTTGATTATACTACAGAATTTTACAGTGAGCCAAAGTGAACAAAGTTAGCGAGTTAGTTAAAATCAGGGAGAGTATTTGCTTCACAAGTAAAAGTGTGGGAATTAGAATGCTTGGGAAAGATTGCACAGCCTTTGAAGCTGTGGCTCCTCAAGGGAGAATTGCATGTAGGTGGCTTACAATGGCTGCAGATATGATTTTGTGTCTAAGTTACATTGCTCAAAGAATGTAACTTACAGTAAAGTTTAAAGAATAAACAAAACTTGCCAGGCTGTGGTGGTGCACACCTTTAATCCCAGTACTCGGGAGGCAGAGGCAGGTGGATCTCTGTGAGTTCGAGAGCAGCCTGGTCTCCAAAGCTACACAGAGAAATCCTGTCTTGAAAAACAATAAATAAATAAGTATTTTTAAAATAACTTTTAAAGTTTAAATATTAAGTAAAAAGGCTGGATGTGGTGGCAAACACCTTTGACAATCAGACTTAGGAAGCAGAGGCAGTCAGATATCTGTGAAGTCTAGGCCAGCCTGGGCTACTTAGTGAGACCATATCTTTAAAAAAAAAAAAAAAAAAAAAAAAAAAACAAAACCAAAGGTTAGAGATTAGTTCTTCTGTTTTGCCCTGGAATTGACTCCACAGTTAAGAGCACTGACTATTCTCCTTCCTAGAGGACCTGGGTTCAATCCCAGGCATCCACGTGGATGCTCACAGCTGTCTGGAACTCTAATAGTTCCGGGGATCTGATGTCCTCTTCTAACCTCCTTGGACACTGCATATATGTGGTGCACAGACATGTAGACAAAACACTCAAACATAAAATCACAATAATGTCTTTTTAAAATATAAAGCTGATTTATTTCTCTTTAAATTTTCCTTTAGATTTATTTATCTTATTTGTGTGTGTTTTGTGTGCCTGTGTGTATGTGTGTATGTATTCCAGTGCTTTTCTGCTGCCCTCAAAGGACAGAAGAGGGCTTTGGGCTCCCAGGAATTGGAGTTGCAGGTGGCTTTGAGTTACAGGTGGGGGTTGCGAACTAAACCCAAGTCTCTTTAAAAGGAACAAGTGCTCTTATCCACTAAGCCATCTTTCAGTCAAGGGCATTTTCCTCATAAATGAAATTGTAAGGTGCTTTTCATGAGGTGCATTGTTTAGCTTTTAAGGATGAGAGAGGGGTGCTACTACAATTTAAACTGTAGCCATAAGTAGGTATAATTTGTTGTTCACTGTCCTTTGGGGATGTCTTTAGGAAGGCAGATACTGTCTCTGAGTTAGTTAAAATCAGGGAGAGTATTTGCTTCACAAGTAAAAGTGTGGGAATTAGAATGCTTGGGAAAGATTGCACAGCCTTTGAAGCTGTGGCTCCTCAAGGGAGAATTGCATGTAGGTGGCTTACAATGGCTGCAGATATGATTTTGTGTCTAAGTTACATTGCTCAAAGAATGTAACTTACAATAAAGTTTAAAGAATAAACAAAACTTGCCAGTGATTCTCATAGGTGTCGCCCAAGACCATCAGAAAACATGGATGTTTACATTACAGTTCATAAAAGTAGCAAAATTACAGTTATATCATAGCAATGAAAATAATTTTTTGGTTGGGGGTCACCACAACATGTGGAACTGTATTAAAGGGCCACAGCATTATGAAGGTCTCTGTAGGCAGTTCTGGTTGCTTCAGACTCCCGGCCAGAACGTGATGTATGGGGCTTCTCTCTCTTCCCATTTTCCTTTATTTTTAGACCCTGTTTTTTATTGCTCCTCAAGCTAACACCTCTTCTTACTGTGGTTCTCACAGGTTTGACTGCTGACAGTTTGTATCTTGCTTTTTCTTTCAACAGATTCATCTACAAGCCCATCTTTGTCCCAAACTACACCAAATAAAGATGCAGATGATCAGTCCAGGAAGAATATGACTGTCAAGAACCGGGGCAAGAGGAAAGCTGATGCTGGTTCCTCCCAGGACAGTGAACTAGAAGTATGTGAAAAACTCACTGGAGTGACCTATGCTTTCCTCACTTCCTGTCAAGTGCATGTCTCAAATTTGCAGACATAATGTTATTGTATGTTGTGTACACTTTAATTTCTGGGGGAGGCATTAATTAGCCAAGAGGAAAAAAAGTAGGTAAAAGAAAATCCCACTGTGTGCACATCTTTTATACCCCTTCTAGCTGTTTTCACCAAAGCACTGAAAACCCTTTTCTGATTCAGGGTGACTTTAACAGAAAGAACAAACTGTTCTCCACATTTGGAGGACAGGAAGAATACACTCACTACATCTTAGTGCTGTGAGCACCGTGGTGACTTAGTGGTTGGAAAGAATAGAAGAACATACAAAATTCTAATGTCATAGTTTTTACATTACCTTTTTTGTGGTTTTAATTTTCTTTGATGTGGTTAATTAAAGCAAAGAGATAAACATGCTCTTTGACACCGTTAAATTGAAGCTATTTATAGAATCTCTGTCCCTCTTCATTTCTGGGGGTAAGAAATAGGGAAACTAAAGTTCTGATACCATTCTAAGGAGAAATTAACAACTCTCTCTTTCTTAAAAATTGTACCAAACAGTACATTATGCAAAACTTTACCATTGTTGCTGGACAGAGTACACACCTGTAATCCGATGCATGATTTTAGAAGTCAGGATCAGGAGATCAAGGTCATCTTTGGCTGCATGAGTTGCCTGAGACTCCACCTAAAGAAAAGTTTTTTTAAGGGCTTTACTGTTTTGTTACATTTTGAAAACTGTTATGTGTTTGAGTGATTTTCATTTTTCCTTATGTGTGGGTGTTTTGCCTTCCTATATGCCTGTATACCACAAGCGTGCCTGGTGCCTACAGAGGACAGAAAAGGTTGTCTGATCCCCTGAGACTGGAGTTAGAGACAGTTATAAGCCCACATAGGTGCTAGGAATCAAACCTCATCATCATTAACCAATGCTCTTAATTGCTAAGCCATGTTTCCAGCCCTAACTTTACTGTTTTAAGAGCATAATTCAGTGTTATTAAATATATTAGCCACCATTCCTGGAACATTTTCATGTTTTTATGTTTGTTTTTCTGTAAATGGAGAATTTTTTCTGTCCCACCCCATCCCACAGCCACCTTTTAATCACTCAGAGACTTAGTATTAGTTACAGATTGTTTGGTCTATAACCAAGGCTTATTACTAATTAGCTCTTACTTTAAATTAACCAGTTTTTATTAATGTATGTATTGACTCATGGCTGTGCCTTTACTGGTCCTCTGGCATCTTGCTTCTTGTGCAGCTGGCTCAAGTCTTTCTCCAGCCCTCCCTTTTTCCCTGTATCTCTGATTGACTTTCCCACCTAGCTTTGATCTGCATGGCTTTAGGCCAATTTAGCTTTTATTATCAACCAGTGAGAGCAGTATGTATTCACAATGTTCGGAAGGATCATCCTACAGCATTTTTCTTTGTCTGAGTCAGTCTTGCTCTTGCCTTGAACTCCTGGGCAATCCTGCTCCTAAGTGCTGAGATGACAGGGGTGAAACACTCTGCCCTGTGTTCATACCTTTTCTTAATCAACTTTTCTTAAACAACTCAGTACCTATTAAACAGTAACTCCCCATCCTCTCTCCTAGCCCTTGGCAACAACTCTGCTGTTTTCTGTGAATTTGCCTAGCCATTAGATATATCTAAATGTGAACATACAGTATTTGTTTTCTTTTGTCAGACTCATTTCATTAGTGTAGTGCTTTTGGGATTTATCGGTTGCAGCATGGATCATAATTTCATTTCTTCAATGGCTGATTGATACTCATTGTGTATGCACATGCATACTACATCTTGCTTATCTTGTGTCTGTTGAAGGACACTTTGGCATTTAGGCTAATATGAATAATGAGTCTCTGAATACTTCATACTATACTTCTTCAGTTCTTTATCCAGAGGAGTGGAATTGCTGGATCTTATTCAGCTGGCTCTTTATTCAGGTTTTTGAGGACTCACCAGACTTTTAACTTTATACTCCCACCATTAGCCTCGTTCTCATCAGGGTTTACTCTCTCTCCTCTCCCCCTTTTAAAGTCTATTTAGGTGTTGGTGGTGGTGAAACAAGGGCTCCACTCATAGCTCTGGCTGTCCTGGAACTGTCAATTAGGCAAGTCTGGAAATCAGTGATCTTCCCTCCCCCGCCTTTTTAAATGGAAGCTACCCTGTTTGGCATAAAGTAACAGCTCACTGAAGTTCTTTGTATTTCCCTAATGACTAATGATATTGAATATCCTTCCATGCCCTTGAGTCCTAAAAGCTTTATAGTGTTTTGAAATTAAAATACGTGACTCCTTCAACTTTGTCCTTTCTCAGGGTGGTTTTGGCTATTTGGAGATCCTATCAGATTCCCTATACATTTCTGAACATTTTGTTTTTCACCTCAATTTTTGAACATTTTTTTAAAAAATTTGTAGTAATTAAGTTCAGTTTCATGTAAGCTCTATTTTTAACTGGGGTTTAACTTTATCATGCACTGTGGAGGGCCTGGAGAGGTGGGCTAGGGGTCAAGGGTACTTGTTGCTCTTACAGAGAACCAAGGTTTGTTTCCCAGCAGCCACATAGTGGCTCACAGCTATTCGTAACTTTGGTTCCCAGAGACTAGATGCCCTCTTCTGACCTCCAAGACACTAGGCATGCATGTGGTACTCAGATGTACATGCAGGTGAAAGAGCCATACGTGTAAAATAAACCTAAAGAAAGAATTTTAAATGAAAAACACTGGAGATTTGGATGTGATTCAGTTTGCAGACTGGCTTGGGTGTTGCCGTTTTAGCAATATTGTTTTCCACTCTGAATATTTATATTTATGCATTTGCATTCTTAGCGGTGTTTTAGGGTTCTCAGTGTATTGTGTAAATCTTTTATTTCATTGGTTAAATTACTCCTGAATATTATTGTTGATGGGATTGATTTTTGAATATTTTTTTCAGATCACCCTTTGCATTAATGTATTTTTTAATGTATTTAAGAGATTATTGATTTCTTTTAAATATATTATGAAAAGGCACTGGATTTTTGTCAGATGTGTTTTTAATATCAATTGAGATTATTATGTTTCCCCTCTTTTATTATGTTGCATTGATTAATTTTATGAACTGAGTGAACCGTCCTTACATTCCAAGAACTGATCCCACTCAGTCATGATGATTTATAGTTGTAAAAGACCCAGAGACAGATATTAGGGTTCAAGCTGAAAGATCAGAGAAGCAAAGCAGCCAGCCAGTAGCTCGCTCTTACCTCCACCTCAGGCCGATTTGGTTGACCCTGCCTCCAGGAAGCCTCAGAGTGCACTGCAGACTGCACTGCTCTTACCAAGCCTCCGACTGCAGCCCTGGACCTCTGTCCCCTCAGTGGCTGGAGACCAATTACCTAAGACTGACTTTGCTTCTTCCTTATATACCTCTCTCTCTCCGGCCATGTCACTCCTGTCTACACGTCCCCAGTGCTGGGATTAAAGACGCATGAATAGAGATCTGTCTGTCTGTCTACTGAGACCCTGGGATTAAATGTGTGTACCACCACTGCCTGACTCTGTGGCTGTAGCTAGCTTTGCATTTTCATCTCCAGCTTTATTAAGTCATAAACAATATATCGCCACATATAGTTATTTTTGTTTGTTGAGAAATTTGGCTTGCTACTATTTGGTTGAGATCTGTGCACTGTAAGAGGATGTAGTTTTCTACAATGCTCAGGTCTTGTCTGGTCTTAGAGTAAAGCTGGCTTCATTGTATAAATTAGAAAGTGTTCCTTTTCAGTGTGTCCATGGGAAAATGTAGGAAGGATGATGTTACTTCTTACTTAAATGTCTGCTGTAATTCACAAGTGAGCCACTTATTTTCCAGATTTTTTTTTTGTTTGCTTTTTTATGTTTTCAGTTACTGCTTCATCTCCTTACTAGTGGCAAGTTTTACCAATTTTTCTGCTTTTTCTCAAGTCAATTTCAATTGTATTGTGTTTCTTGGGAATTAAACTGTTTCACCTGCTATTCAGCTTGTTGGCACACAACTGTTCATAATTCCCAGTCAGGGTCCATTTGTTTCTATGAAGTCCATCACATTGTCCGCACTTGCATTTATGGTCTGAGTAATTTGAATCTCTGTCTTCCTTTGTCAGTCTTGGTAAATGTCAGTTCTGTTGATATTTTCAAAGAACCCACTGTCGGCCTTCATTGGCTTTTTTCTGTTAATCTATTCTCTTTTTGTTCGTTCTACTTTCTACTTTGTTATTTCCTTCCTTTTGGTAGCTTTAGTTTGCCCATCTTGTCTAAATAGTCCTTGGATGTATATAGTATGGTATGGCTATAACTTGAGATTTTTCTTCTTCTTGGGCTGGGAATTGAACCCAGAGCCTTAGGTCTGTAAAACAAAGTCTTCCCTGAGGCTTTCAGCTTCCTTTGCCTTATTCCTTTTTTTTATAGGTTCTTCCTGTGTAGCCTAGATTGGCCTTAGCAATTGATAATTCCTGTCTGTTTTCCCAGTTTGGTGATTGTAGGCATGCATCCATGGCAGCTGCTCCTTTTCCTCTCCCCCCCGCCCCTTTTCTTTTTTTGATACAAGGTATTGCTGGGTATCCCTGGCTAGCTTGGAATTCTCTATGTAAGTCCAGATGGCCTCAGACTCACAGAGATTCCCCCCAAGCTCTGCTTCCCAAGTGCTAGAATCAAAGGCATGTTCCCATGACAGCTTCTTCCTTCTTTTTTAATGTATGAATTTACAGTTAAAATTTCCCTTCCAGCATTGCTCCCACTGTGTCTTACAAGTTTTAATATGTTGTATTTGTTTTCATTACCTCAATATATTTATTTACAATATAGTAATAGTTACTACCATTCATCTCTAACTTTATTTACATTTCTTTTTTGGATCATTTGATTGTCTAAAATTGTGTTATTAAACTCCCACGTATTTCTGGATTTATTTATTTATTTTTGGTTTCTTGTTTTATTCCACTGTGATTGACAGATAACTCATTTTTTGTCTTCCCCCCCTCAGCGGGTATTTCTCTGGGACTTGGATGAAACCATCATCATATTTCATTCCCTTCTTACTGGATCCTATGCTCAGAAGTATGGAAAGGTAATTCAAGTGTTTTGTTGTAACTGCCCCTTCTGTGGCAAGATGAGCCACCGATCTAGCTCTCCCAACTACTACAGTAGAAAATCCATTTTCTCTGCTGCCTGTCTTGCCCCATTGACTTTTGTTCTCATTCATATATATATATATATATAAATATATATATGCGCACATACGCACGCATGCATGAGAGTTTTAGGGATTGGGCCTCAAGAGATGGCTTGGTTATTAAAATGCACCTGCTGCTCTTACAAAGGAGCAGCAATTTTGGTTTTTGGTTCAGTTCCCAGCACCCACGTGGCAGCTTACAACATCTATAACTCCAGTTCCAGAGGATCCAACACTCTCTTGTCTGGCCTCTGCTGACACTGTATACCTATGATGCAAGGAAATACACGCAGGCCAAACACCCATACATTTAAAAATAAAACAACAACAAGAAAATAATATTAGGGCTCAGCAAATGCTAGGCAAGAGCTGTAACTGTCCTGCCTTGTTGGCATTGAATTTCCCATGTATAAAACTTACTACATTGCTTACGCCAGGCAGGCTCCATAACTAGGTAGATTTGGTGATCTAGCTAGACACTTGAACTAGGAGCAGTAATGAAAGCTGAAGGTGTTCAGGAATGCATTTTCATGTTGATGAGGTGGCTTACCAGGTAAAAGTACTTCAGTATAAACATTACTTTAGCAGAAGAACGAGTTTAAGAAGGTTAGCTCTGCGTATTTCTTTCTCTTGAGACAGAGTCTCATTGTGTATGTAGCCTTGGCTATCCTTGATCTCAGTCCTCCTGCCTCAGCCTCATGAGTGTAGAGCTGTGCTTCTCCACACACCATCTCCAGGGTTATGTTTCTTCATTTCTAGAAATAAGTAAGTTATAAAAATAATTGTTTGCTGTCTTGCTATTCCCAGTTATCTTTGGTAGCCAGGAATGTCTTCTGTGAGTACTTTGTACAGCCTAACCAGCTGACAGAAGCCCCAAAACTATGTCCCTAAATCCCTTAGGAAAATACTTACCCTCTAAGTGAAGATGGATGCTTCATTTTAAAGCAAGCTGCGTTGGTTGTCCTGCAGACACTTTTGACTCTGGTTTTCTTTACTTCCTGGCTGGTAGGATTGTTAGGTGTGCAGTGTTCCTCATGTCATAGGAGCAGAAAAGGGATCGTGCACATTACAGTAACAGTGTTTTAGTTATAGTTATAATTTCCCCTTTGTGGAAATAGTGGTTTCTAAAACTGAAATCTTGACATTTTTATTGTCCACAGCCTCTATATTCTGTAATCCCAATTTTTATAAATGTGAGTGAAATTGCATCAGTAAGACTTGAAGTACTGTGTGGCTGGAGCTGTGTTGGACTGGGCTCAGTAGTTTTGAAATACCTGGAAGTTAGAACGAGTGCTGTGAGTATTGCATCAAGCACTGTTCTCACTCTTCTTTGTTCCAGGACCCAACAGTAGTAATTGGCTCAGGTTTAACAATGGAAGAAATGATTTTTGAAGTGGCTGATACACATCTATTTTTCAATGACTTAGAGGTAAGTGGTTTAAATTGTTTTTCTGCTTCTGTGAGTGTTTTATTCTCTGTTAGTGCCTGGGCTTGTGTTTAGAAAGTGGGAGATTAGATAAGGGGTGCAGAGATTATGCTAACAAAACATGACAGGCATCTGGCTCAGGGAAGATCAGTGTCATGGTTACACCAGATCTCAGTGGTGCTGGTCCAGTTGATTTTGTTTTGTTTTTTTATAAGAGTTGGAGATAGGATGTTTTGTTTCATTTTGTTTTGAGACAGGGGGTCCTATGTAGACCATACAGGCCTCAAACTCACTATGTAGCTGAAGATGACTTTGAACTTGTGACCCTCTTGCCTCCTGTATGCTGGAATTACAGGTGTGCCTCTATGCAGGGCTTTATGCAGTGCCAGGGGATGAACACAGGCTTTGTGTTAGGCAACCAGTCTACCAAGTTAGACTTTGTTGAAGGAGTTTAAATGATGTTTTTAACATAGATTGTTAACATAGAGTTTTAAACATAGGAAAGAAAGTATGTAGGTTTCTCAGAACTGGCCCTCTCAGGCATGTCTGGTGACACACACCTATAACCACAGCAGTTAGGAGGCTGAGGTAGGAAGATCATGGGTTCAAGACCTGTCTCCACTGGGCTGTGGTGGCGCACATGCCTTTAATCCTAACACTTGAGAGGCAGAGGCAGGCGGATCCTCTCTCTGTGTCTGTGTCTGTCTCTCTCTCTATCTATCTATCTCTCTGAGTTCAAGACCAGCCTGGTCTACAAGAGCTAGTTCCAGGACAGACTCTAAAGCTACATAGGGAAGCCCTGTCTAAAAAAAAGAAGATTTAAAAGTAAAGTACAAGAACATTTTACAAACCCAAAGTAAGCACTGTTCACTTTGAGTGTAGACTAGTTCTCCAGCAAACCAGATGACTGTGGCTCTAACTCGGGTGGTTTTATCACAGCTCTGCCCTCTACTTCATTTGTTGGCAGATTGAGACAGCATAGTTTTTAGCCAGTAAGCATCAGTTGAAAACCTACTCTTTGCCTATAATTATTCCCAAATTGTATTTGTAATGATTTTCTAGACATAGTCTACACGCAGGACTGAAAGTTCTGACCTGAATGTGTTCCTGTTCCCCAGGTCAGTAGTTCTCAACCTTAGGGGGCATAAGAGTCCCCTGTGGAGTATCTTAAAATTGGAGATTCTAGGACTTTAATTCCCGAAGTTAGAGTAGGTCTGTCTTGAACCCAAGAATATATGCATTTTTAAACCTTCCCCAGAGGGTTCTGGTGCAGATGCCCTAGTGGTGTCAGGGAAAACAGCAGCCAGTTAGGTGGTTGGTACATCTGGTCTTTTTCTACTGCTCACTGGTGGTATGGTCCTGAGAAAATCATTTCACCTCCTGTTAGGAGACAAGTTCTACATTTAAGCATTGACTAAGATGGCCTGTTAGGTAGACATTTCTGTTCCAACTGTTCTGTTTTTGTTTGTTTTTAAGATTTGTGTATTTTATTTGTTCTATCTGCCAGAAGAGGGCATCAGGTCTCATTATAGATGGGTGTAAGATACCACATGGTTGCTGGAAATTGAACTCAGAACCTCTGGAAGAGCAACCAATTCTCTTATGATATCATACTTTACCAGCATCTGTTTTATCTACAAAAACTAATTGTATACACTCTAGGCAGTGGTGTGCAAGCCTTTAACCTCAGCACTTGGGAAGTTGAGGCAGACAGATCTACAGACTGAATACCCGGACAGACCTGGCTACATAGAGAAAGCCTGTCCTAAAGAAAAAATAATTAGATACATACTGCATAAGGACATTGGATTAGACTAGGATGGTGCAATGAGGGCTGAAATCATGGCTCAGTGATTAAGAGCAATTACTGCTCTTTTGAGGACCTTTGTTCAGTTCCTAGCACCTAGGCCAAGTGACTCACAACTATAACTCTAGACCCAGAAAATCTGACACCCCCTTCTTGCCTCTGTCAGTAGTTTTCACTTATACATCTACAGACACACACGTACACATAATAAAAATAAAGTAAATGAGGCGGGTTGTGGTGGTTCACGCCTTTAATCCTAGCAGTTAAGGCAGAGGCAAGCAGTTATCTGTGAGTTCAAGCCCAAAAGTAAATCATAAATGTTGCAAAGGAGATAGAAGATCTGAGACCTGCAGCTTATTATAGTAAAATTTTCAATCTAATAGAGAATATAGAGGCACTGGACAGTGTGATAGGGGTTGTGCTGTTCCCTTCACTTAGAGAAATGAACTATTGTGATAAGAGCAGAATTGAGTGATGGAACTGTTAAGGAAGGGTTCATAAAGACTGTCTGCTGTGTGTCAGGTCTTGGTCCACCTGCCAGAGAGACTATAAACTATTTCATCATCCTGCTATTATATGTGGTCCTTTTATAGTTATGTCATGGTAGTGATAGCACTTCTGTTCTTGGGAATGAAATAGTGCATTTTGTCTTTTAACAGGAATGTGACCAGGTGCATGTGGAAGATGTGGCTTCTGATGACAATGGCCAGGATTTGAGGTGTGGTAAACACAGTGATGCTTTAAACATCAGTATACCCGGTATATGCAACTGACTGAATTCAGAGGAAGAGAAAGATGAAAATGCTCACTGTCTATTGTTAGAAGAGTCAGAAGCCATGACATATGATGAGGCAATGATAGAAAAGTATGGGGAGCAGAGAAGGAAGTAAAGTGGTACTCATCAGTAAAGGGAGCAGGTACAAACACCATTAGAAAGGACTCAGTGCTGTAGCATTTGACCAAGACCTCAAGAATTACCATGTAATGATACTGGATCTCAGAGTGGAGAGTGTATTGCTTGCTGCTACTGGTTTCCCTTTACATAAATTATCTGTGAGGGGAAAGCATGCTTCTAGACTGAGCAGCCCTACTTACATAAGCTTCAGGAATTTTGCCCAGTAATCATGGAGGTTTGATGGCGTCAGGAATAACTATATGAACAATAGTCTTAGCTGTTGCATTGCAGTAAAAACTAAACCAGGGCAGTCCCGTTGGCAGTTCATTCTCCTCACTCCTCTGTTGGCTCCTGTTTCTTCTGGCCAATTGATCTTTTTAAAAATATGTATTATTTCTTATCATTGCATGTTCTCTCCTACATTTACTTGGTGTGTTAGGATTGAATCTGGTCACTAAGCTTGTGTGGAAATCACATTTAGTCACTGAGCCATTTCAATGGCCCTGGCCCAGTGATCTTGACTAAGCAGTACCAAAACATTTAAAAACTTTAGAAGAAAAGACTATCCTATCTTTCCATGTTAATGTGTTTTAATGTTTTATCCCTTTTCATAAGTAAAATATTCTTCCCTAAAATTAAGCATTTCTCCTCCTCCTGCTGCTGCTGCTTCTACTGCTTCTGCTGTTGCTGCTGCTGCTTCTTCTGCTGCTGCTGCTGCTCCTTCTTCTTCTTCTTCTTCTTCTTCTTCTTCTTCTTCTTCTTCTTCTTCTTCTTCTTCTCCTCCTCCTCCTCCTCCTCCTCCTTCTTCTTCTTCTTCTTCTTCTTCTTCTTCTTCTTCTTCTTCTTCTTTTCTTCTTCTTCTTCTTCTTCTGCTGCTGCTGCTGCTGCTGCTGCTTCTGTTTCTTTGTGTAACCCTGGCTGTCTTGGAACTCACTTTGTAGACCAGGCTGACTTTGAACTCATAGATCCCCTTTCCTTTTCCTGCTAAGTGCTGGAACTAAAAGTGTGTACTACCACACCCAGCTCATCTGTTACTTCTTAATGCCACACCTGTCCATGTAGCACTGAGAAGGAAACCCTCACATACAAATCAGCAACCACTTACGTGTGTTGCACATTAATGGCTGAGGCTTCGTTTGTCTCTTTAGCAAGGCCTCCTGTCAAGCTGTTTATGGTCCGTTTATGTATTTATTTGTCTGTTTTCTCTTACATATGTGAATGATCAGATTTCCTATTTTATGTCTTAGTAGCTTTATTTACTTGTTTGTTTAGTGTTTTTGAGACAGGGTTTTTTGGTTTTTTTGTTTTTTTTTTTTTTTTTAATGTAGCCCTGGTTGTCCTAGAACTTGCTCTACGGACCAGGCTATCCTGGAACTCAGATCCACCTGCCTCTTGCTGGGATTAAAGGCATGTGTTATTGTAGAATATTATTGTAACAGGCAAAGGTGTGTTACATTTGCTTATGCTACAGAATATTACTTCAACTTTGTAAAGATGTGTTACTTTTGTTTGTGCTTCATTGTTTAGTTATGAAAGGATGTGTTGCATCTGTTTCACCGTGCCTGGCTAAGGCACCTGACTGATCTAATAAAGAGCTGAACAGCCAATAGCTAGGCAGGAAAAGGATAAGTGGGGCTAGCAGGCAGAGAAAATAAGTAAGAGGAGAAATCTTGGGGAAAAGAACAAAGAGGATCAAGAGAAGGAGGAGAACAAGGGAGATGCCACAGACCAGACAGACAGACATAGAGAAGCAATAAAAGTAAGACATACAGTAGTAAGGGTGGTAATAAGCCCCGAGGCAAAAGGTAGATAAGAAGAAACATATTAAATTAAAAGAGCTAGCCAGAAACATGCCTAAGCTAGTCCAAGCAACCAAAGCTAATAATTCTTCTCTGTGTCATGATTTGAGAACTTGTTGGTGGCCAAAAAAGAAACAGCCTCATACATTTTGGTGCCCAACGTGAGGCTTGAACCCACAACCCTGAGATTAAGAGTCTCATGCTTTACTAATTGAGCTAGCCAGGCATTCAAAACTAATGATAAGTTCCTGTACCATGATTTGGGAGCTGATTGGTGGTCAAAAAGAAAGGGCCTGGCTTCTTGGCAGCTTTATTTAGTATAGAGTCTTACACTTAATGTATTGAAACCTGCTTTTAACATGTCTTGTTTTTTGAAAGAAGTCTAGTCCATGCTGCTCTGATTCTTGTTATGTAGCCAAATGCTGGAATTACAGAAAGGAGCCACCATGGCAACTTCTATTTCTCTTTTTATTTAGCTGTAATTATATTTACATTGTATAGTCTGCTTTTTCTGTCTCTAATGAAAACAATGTATCCCAAGTCAGCCTCTATGGGGTGCTGGTGCTTAGGTTATTTTCCTCTCAGTGGTCACTGAGGTAGGACATGCATGATGGTACACACCTGTTCTAGCCCTTGGGAGGTAAAGACAGGAGTACAGGTCCAGCCTCCGCTTCCAAGTGAAGTTGAAGCCAGCATAGGCTGCATGAAGCTTTTTCTCAAAAACAAAACAAAAAACAACAACTAGTTTCTTGAGTTCTTTGTATATTTTGGAGATCAGCCCTTTGTAGAATATAGGATTGGTGAAAATCTTTTCCCAGTCTGTGGGCTGCCATTTGGTCTTGTCCACTGTGTCCTTTACCTTACAGAAGCTTCTAAGTTTGAAGAGGTCCCATTTATTAATTGTTGCTCTCAGTGTCTAGGCCCCTGGAGTTATGTACAGGAAGCGGTTTCCTATACCAATTTGTTCAAGGGTACCTCTTACTTTCTCTTCTAAGAGGTTCAGTGTGGCTGGATTGATGTTGAGGTCTTTGATCCATTTGGACTTGAGTTTTGTGCATGGCGACAGACATGGGTCTATCTGCAGTCTTCTACACACCATCACCCAATTGTGCCAGCACCATTTGTTGAAGATGCTGTCCTTGCCCCATTGTATTCTTTTAGCTGTTTTGTCGAAAATCAGGTGTTCATAGGTGTGTGGGTTAATATCAGGATTTTCAATTTGATTCCATTGGTCTACCTGTCTATTTTTGTGCCAATACCAGGCTGTTTTCAGAACTATAGCTCTGTAGTAGAGCTTAAAGTCAGGAATGGTGATGCCTCCTGAAGTTCTTTTATTGTACAGGGTGGTTTTGGCTATCCTGGGTCTTTTGTTTTTCCATATAAAGTTGATTATTATCCTTTCAAGGTCAGTGAAGAATTGTGGTGGGATTTTAATGTGGATTGCATTGAATATGTAGATTGCTTTTGGCAAGATTGCCATTTTTACTATATTTATCCTACCTATCCAAGAGCATGGAAGATCTTTCCATTTTCTGGTATCTTCTTTAATTTCTTTCTTTAGAGCCACAAAGTTCTTATTATATAGGTCTTTCACTTGTTTGGTAAGCGTTACCCCAAGATACTTTATGTTGCTTGTGGCTATTGTAAAGGGTGATGTTTCTCTGATTTCTTTCTCTGCCTCTTGGAATCCAGCATGGGACTGACTCAACCCCCCTGAATATGGGTCTTAACTAGAAGTACTGAGCAGTGCAAGGGACCTCAGACAGTGGAACCAGGATGTAACCCTGGTGCACAAAAGGACCTTGCGAACACATCCCCCATGGAGGGATACTACCTTAACCTAGAGACAGGAGAGAAGTCCTAGTTCCTACTTCAAATGACCTTACAGATCTACATGACCCCACCTGGATGGCATTGCCCTACGTGTGGAATTGGGGTGGGGGATGGGAGGGGAGGGTGGTCAGGGTGCATGTGAGGGGGCAGAGAAGGTAAAGGGGAGGGAGGGAGAGAAGAAGGGAGAGGGAACTGGGATCGACATGTAAAATAATAAATTAAATAAAAAACAACAACAAAAAAACAATAACAAATATCCGTGAGAAGATTGTTAAAGCATTAGCTTTGTTTATTAGACACAAAGAACAACCACAGACTCTCAGGTAACATTTAACCTCAAACTCTGGAGGTATGGATTTTAATTTTCATTATCCTCTCCCTTTGCAGCAACTATAGTTTCTCAACAGATGGTTTCAGTGGTTCAGGAGGCAGTGGTGGTCACGGTTCATCTGTGGGTGTTCAGGGGGGTGTGGACTGGATGAGGAAGCTGGCCTTCCGATATCGAAAAGTAAGAGAAATCTACGACAAGCATAAAAGCAACGTAGGAGGTAAGTGTGGATAGCCAATCTGAACCTGTTTCTTAATGCTTTCCTGCATTCCTTTCTAAGAGTGTCTTAAATCCTCCTTGCAACTTCTTAGGAATTCATGCCATGTTAATTATGTATTAAAAAAAAACAAAACAAAAAGCAGTTATAATATCTACATCACTGATGGCCAGTAGAATGGGGTGTGAAGGGTTAGAAAATGACTCAGCAGTTAAGAGGGCTTGCTAATCTTGCAGAGGATCCAGGTTAAGTCTCCAGCACCCACACAGTGCTCTCAAACATCTGTAACTCCAGATCCAATGGATCTGATGCCCTCTTCTGACCTCTTTTGGCACTAGGCATGCATTTTATACATACACATACATGCAAACATACAAATAAAACAGAAAAATTTAATTTAAAAGAATGTGAGATGATAGCCGAGGCTCTGCACCATTGATGGCTATTAGAATGGGGGATTTCAGGAGAAGTTCTACATTCCTAATCCCTCTTATGTAACTTTGGACAATTATACTATTTTTTAAGACAAGTATCTTTTTAAAGAAAATGTGTTGTTAGCTTCCATTGCTGTGGCAAAATACCTGAAATGATCAGTTTAACAGGAAAAGAGATTTATTATTTATTCATTTTATTGGTCATTTGGCCCTGTTATCTTGGGCTTGTGACAAACCAGAATATCATGACAGGGAGAGTCTGATTACCTCATTGCAGCAGAGAAAGAGAGAGGGAGGAGTATGAGAAGGTAGCTTGGTTCCTAGTATCACATTAAAGCACCTTTGGTGAGGACAAGCCTTCATTACATTAGCTTTGGGGGAATAGGTAAAATCTAAACCATAGTTCCACAGATTATTGGTTAGTTGGTTGCTTGCTTGCTTGTTTGCTTGGTAGGTTGTTGAGATAGTCTTAGGAAGCCCAGCCCATCCTTGAACTTGCTCCCAAGTATTGGCTTGCTAGACATGCCCCACCATACCTACCTCAATATATTACATTTGATGCAATGTTTTTTATTATTCTTGAGATATAACCACTGTTGGTACTTATTAATAGACTGCCACAGTTTGAATAGCAGATATCTATACCCATCTTCGTAATTCAAATTAGTTACTATCTGGCTGGGAAATAGGCTAGGATTATAGGGCAGTGTCCCTGTGCTTTAATACGGAAATTTTATCTGCCCGGAAATATTGTAGGTGGTAGTGTTATTCAGAACTAATTAGTCATGGATTGTTCAAAATGGAAAAGATATTAGAAATCTACTCTAAATACCTCATTTGGTAGCTGAGAAATTAACATCCATTGTAGGGGCAGGCATAGCATAACACAGTCACATGGCAAGTGCATAAACTGGCCACACTCCTAAAGGTCAGTGCACTTTTCAGTCTTTTCAGTCCTTTACTAGTGATGTGCTCTTCTTGCTAGGCGATGATAGCCCACACCTTTAATCCCAGCAGGCAGGGGCTGGGGGCAGCCCAGAGCAGGAGGATCTCTGTGAGTTTGAGGCCAGCCTGGTTTACAGAGTGAGTTCCAGAACATCTAGGGCTCTTACGCAGAGAAACCCAATCTTGAAAAACAACCCCCCCCCAAAAAAAAAAAAGGAAAAAAAAATATTTAAAACCATGAGCCCTCACCCTCAAAAAAAGACTCTGCATCCAGTGCTGTGTGAAGTTTAGGGTTTATATAGATTATACCGGAGAGTGTCCTTCCTTGTCACCCCAGTCTGTGGCTAAAAGCAGAGACAGCTTTGAAGTTGGTCATCAGAAGGTTGTAACAGCCCTCTGGTATCAGGCAGAGTCATTGGCTTCTAGATCTCAGGAGCCTAATTTCTTTTTTCAAGTCCTCCCCTCCCCCCAAGCTATGTCTGCTCCTTTCCTGCGTACTGACTAGACCTGTTTCCTGGAGAAAATGATACAGCACATTGTGAATCTCTTGAGCCTGTTTGGGAGAATATATAAAGTGGAAGAGCCAGGCATGGGGCACATATGTTTAATGCCTAACTGTGATGTTTATGTCAGCTGACTTTGTTATGATGTACCCATAGGAAAGAAAATGTATTGCTGAGGAGTCACATTTGAGTAGCACTATTCTAAAACATGGAAATGTATAATCGCAGGGGCTCATGGGAGTTGCTTCTTTGTATGTAACACATACATTGGCTACTTGTCTCCAGCATAGTAGCTGACAAAAGCAGCTTAAGGAAGGTTTATTCTGGGCTGGTGGGATAGCTCACCCTTTAAAGGCTAGGCTCACAACCATAACTATAAGAAGTTCCAGTGGCAGGAGGAGAGGGCAGCTGGTCACATTGAGTCCACAGTGAAGAGTACTCGTACTTGGCTGCTTTCTCTTATATTCAGTCCAGGACCCCAACCCACATACATTTAGGGAGGGTCTTCCCACCCCAGTAACCTAATTTTGATGATCCCTCACAGACATGGCCAGATATTTGTTTACATGATGATTTCAGAACCCATCATGCTGAATATCAGACTGACTATCATAGCAAATTCATGTCAGATAACAAATGTGTCTGCTTTTATCTAAAAGGCCTCCTCAGCCCCCAGAGAAAGGAAGCACTGCAGAGACTAAGGGCAGAGATCGAAGTTCTAACCGATTCCTGGTTAGGAACTGCGCTAAAGTCCTTGCTTCTCATCCAGTCTAGGTAAGGAAATGTTCTTTTACATCTTATCCTCTCAAAAGACACGCTACTTCCTATCCCTGGTCAAGTTAGGCCATCCCTTAAAAATGGAGTTTAGGAACAGGGATTAGAAGGCAATAATGGCACACTTCTTTAATCCCAGCATGCAGGTGGTAAAGGCAAATGGATTTCTCAGTTTGGGACCAGCCTGGTGTACCGAGTAAGTTCCAGGACAGCCAGGGATACACAGAGAAACCCTGTCTTGAAAAAAAAAAAAAAAAAAGATGACGGTTAAGGTAGCCAGTAAGGGCTCCCATGTGCTTGCTTCCAAGCCTAATGATGTTAGTTCTGTATACACAACAAATGTAACTTTGAAAAAGTTAAGATGATTGAGGGGATTTTGCCTTGAAGCCTAGAATGGAAAATAGATGCAGCTGTAGCATGTACTCTCTCTCTCTTGTGTCTTATAACTTGAGAAACAAATCTCAGCAGGAGATTGGAGGTAAAGGATCTAGGGAATTTTTGTGTCTTCTGGAATCTCAGTGGCTGTTGTGTGATGAGCAGAGAAATTAAATCGTGTCTCATGAGAGTGGCATTTCCATTTAGTGCAACTGCAATGAAAGTTCTCCACTCTCTGCTTGTCTTCTGAAATGTGGTGACCTTAACAAGAAGACTTAGTGATAATAGCCAACAAGTGGCAGTGAAAACCAGTGGCCAAGGCTGGGAGTTGAGGATGGAGTCTCAGTGGTTGAGAGCACTCACAGCTCCAGCGGAGGACCCAGGTTCAGTTCCCAGCATACACATGTAAATGTATTAGCCATCTCACTGGTCCCTCTGACCTTTAGAAAGAAAAATCTGAATAAGAATAATCATTGAGCTGGGTGTGGTGGCCCAGCATGAAGGAGGCAAAGGCAGGTAGGTCTCTGAGTTCAAAGTCAGCCTCATCTATCTACAGAGCGAGTTCCAGGACAGCTAGTGCCAAACACAGAAACCCTGTCTGGTGTGTGTGGGGGTGGTGAGTAATATGACATTGATCAGTAGAGTCCAGCTCTTTGAGGTTTCCTCTTGCTCCTAGGTTGCTTCAGTTTCACCGTGTTCTTTTCCTCCTTACTCCCTTCTAGAAAGAATTGTGTGAATGTTCTGATCACTACCACACAGCTGGTTCCAGCCCTGGCCAAGGTTCTCCTATATGGACTAGGAGAAATATTTCCTATAGAAAACATCTACAGTGCTACCAAAATCGGTATGTTGTTTCCCCAGTGGCCTCTCGGGGAAACGTTCCCTGGGGCTTGTGTTACTGCCAGTTCTGCTATGCAATACAAATGTGTTTGTCATCCCCCAATCTTCTAAAATGATGGTTGAAGGCTTAGAAGTTATCATGTTTGCTTAAGAAATCAGAACTAGTAAGCGCCTTTCTCCTGTTTAATTTGTTTTGGCTGGCTGAAAGTCTGTTACTGAGACTAGCTACCTGGCTAGATTTGCCACCAAGTGTGATGGCCTGGGCTCAGTCCTCAGAACCAGACAGGAGGAGGAGAGAATCAAGTCCACAGGTTGTCTTGTGATCTCCACCCTCACACCGTGGGACATAGAGGTACACATATGCACAACTAATGAATAAAAATGTTTTGGCTGGAGAGATGCTAACAAGAGCACTTGTTGTTTTTGTAGAGGGCCTGAGTTCAGTTTCCAGCATCCATATGGTGGCTCCCCCATAACTCTGGGGGATCTGATGCCCTCTTTTGGCCTCTGAGAGCAGCAAACACACACATGATATACACACATATATGTAGGCAAAACACATAAAATGAATACATCTACTTTTTTTTAATTTTTAAATAAGAATTCAGAACATGAAGTTAGTAGTGGAAGTTCTGTAGTCATTTGGGTTTTATTCACCAATCCTTTCCCCATAGGTTAAATAGTCCATTGACCAGGGATTTTGGGCATTGAGAAAACAGACAGAAAGGCTCCTTCACATTCGCCTCCTCTGCTCCTGCCTTCCCATGCAGCAGACCTTCCCTTGGAGCCTCTTACACCCAAAAGCTGTATTTTCTGTAGTAATCATTGCATTAAGGCCTAGCGTCCAGAGGCTAATCAAACTAATGGGATGGCTTTATTCTCTCTGATATTAAGGGAGCTTATTTGGTGATTTTCCTCAGTCATGATTCTCAGAGCTAATGTTTGAAGCTTTGGTGTGATCTGCTACCATAGTAATCACAGTAAGAGGCCTGAGGCTTTCCTTGACAGAACTGTGAAATGGAAGCAACAATAGAAGGCTTTTTCCAGTTTCTCTGAAGTGATTTCAGCATTATGGTTTTCCTTTTTGTATATTTTTTTTGCGATGGGGGTCTCATGTAGCCCAGGCTGGCCTCAAACAGACTGTGTAGTAAAGGATGGCCTAGAAGTTCTGATCATCCTCTGGCTCCCAGGAGCTGGGATTAAAGTATATGTCACCATGCACAGCTAAAATTATGATTGTCTACTATGGAGCCACTCAGTATCCTTGGACATTGATTGAATTCTCAACATCATTTCTGAAAATACCCTAAGTGAGCTTGGGGACTTTATTTTGTTTTTTGAAATCAGGGTCTCTAGCTCAGGTTGCTCCCAACTCACAGTGATCCTTCTGCCTTAGCCTTGTTTACAGGCATTTGCTCCCCACTCAGATATCAGAGCCATTTTTCACAGAAGAAACTCCCACATCCTCCAGAACAGAAGGGTTCATATCCATAGTGTTCTGAGATAGAAACGGGAGTGTCTGTTAGAGCTGGTTCTTTGTGTGCATCTCTTCCTTCAGTAAGCTTTCTTGGGTGTGGGGGAGGCATCCCAGAGGCTATCTCATCCTTGATCAGAACATATCAGGACATTGGGAATTTCTTCATCATCCTTTGTAAAATTGCCATAGTCCTTTTTCTTGGTTTTAGGAAAATGTCTGAAACCTGAATCATTTTTTTTCATAAGCACATCACTTTTAGATATTGGCTTAATTAGAAATCTAGGCTGTCATGGAATTAAACAATTAACTTCTTAACATTTTGAACATTAGAATTCAGGGCTGGGCATATAGAAAAATAAAATATGGCATTTGTAATTGGAAATCATATATGCCAGATTCAGAAAGACACACTCAGGAGGCAGAGGCAGGTGCTTCTCTGTTAGTTCAAGGCCAGCCTGGTCTACAAAGTGAGTTCCAGGACAGCCAGGACTATGTAGAGAGACCCTGTCTCAAAAAAAGAAAGAGAGAGAAAGGTATACCACATACTTTCTCTGCTATATGAAGTTTAGGTTTAGGTGAGGTGGGGGAGAAGAGCTTTCAGAAAGGGCCATGAAAGGAAGGAAGAGATCTTAAGAGAGACAGAGGGGTTCAGTAGGATGATGCTGAGAGCAGCAGAGAGGCTGTTTGAGAGACAAAAAGAACCAGCACAAAGGGAGCAGGATGTTAACAGTGCTTCCCCAAATTCAACTCCCAGCTTCTGTATCAGGTGGCTCACACTGCCTATGACTCCAGCTCAGCTCCTCTGAGCTCTGCAGACATCTACACTCATGTGCACATAATCACCCTCACACGCACATACACATAGTTAAAAATAAACCTTAATAATGACATATATGAAAATGCCATAATGAAACCCATTACTTTGTATGCCAACATAAAAATTTTATTAAAAAGAATTTAGGGCTGATGTTGTAGCTGATTGGCAGAATGCTTGCCTAAAATTCACCCCCGGGTTTGATTGCCAGCATCATAAAACAAGAGAGCTGGGCCGTGGTAACGTTTGCCTTTAATCCCAGCACTCGGGAGTCAGAGGCAGGCAGATCTCTGTGAGTTTGAGGCCAGCCTGGTCTACAGTGGGAGTTCCAGGACAGCTAGGGCTCTTACACAGAGAAACCTTGTCTCCAAAAAAAGTGTAACATGAATAAATAAAAGACCCAGAGACTGATATTAGGGTTCACGTTTCAAGCTGAAGATCAGAAAGCAAAGCAGCCGGTCACTAGCTTTTACCTCTAGCTCAGGCTGAAAGGCAATCCTGGTTCCACCAAACCTCAAACTGAAATCCCAGACGTCTATGCTCTTCTCAACATGACTGGAGAATCCTGAGACTGAATGCCAGCTCTGAGACCTTGCTCCTGTCTTATATACCTCCCTAATGCTGGAATTAAAGGTGTGTTATCCTAGGCGCTAGGTTCAAGGGCTCTGTTACTCTTCACGCTTGTGTAAGCCATGATGGCCTTGAATAGAGAGATCCATCTACCTCTTAATCCTGAGTCCTAGGATTAAAGGTGTGTACCACCACTGCCTGATCTCTATAGCTTGAGGCTGACTTTGTTTTCTGAATCCTCAGGTAAGTTTTAATAAATCATAAATATATCCTCACAGAAAAAAATAAAAATTTCAGGGACTAGGAGAAAGCTCAGTTGGTAAAGTACTTGCCACATAAGCCCAAGAACCTGAATTTGTCCCCAGGACCCACATGTAATGGGTATGGCAGATACTTGTGATCCTAGCAGTGGGGAGGCAGAGACAGGAGAGTCCTTCAGGCTTGCTGGCCAGTCAGCCTCACATATACACATCTCTCCATACCATACACAGGTGCACACAAATAGAAAACAGTACTTTAATTATTTGACTCTAATAGTTAAACCAAATTGGGCTTGGTATATTGGCTCTGAATCATATGTAAGTTAATACACAGTGATAAGCATTCATTCAGCAACAATTGAATGTTGCAGAGAAAGCCAGGCAGGACTGCCACGGTGAAGTTAGCACGCGTGTACCCTAAAAGCCTTATCTCTAAAGGGAAAACTGTGACACAGACTGGACCAGTATCTGCACCAGGACACCACTGATGTGCCATTTGGCTAGGAGTGTCAAATTTACAGGTATTGTAATCACTTTCCTGCAGATGGCTCTCCAGTGTCTTGAGGAACATTCTTAGGTCACTGGATCTGACAGGAATTAAAATGAGGTTAATGGATAGCTTTCCGCTCTTGGTCACATAGACGGCCCTGGTTCAAACCCATGACAAAAGACATGAATTCGGGAAAGGCGCTTTGAAGGGGGTGTCATAGAGGCCAGAGTGAGATGGCAAGCAGGACAGGGCTGAGAGTAATCAGAACACACTGACATATGAAATTCTTCAAGAATAAATTTCATCAATGAAAAAATACAGAGTTTTAAAAAGAGAACATTTGCTGTAGATTGTGGCCACAGCCTGGATTTGGAGTCAAGAACGAAGCCAAATCTAGCTGCTGGCTTGTTTGTGATCTAGGGAAGCAAGTTGTTTGATAATGGCATGCTGTCAGATTCTTTGGGCAGAGGGGCTACTGAAGCTCTGGCCACACTCCTAACTCCTGAATGAGTAGTCTGCACAGGCTGCCCGTAAGGCAGATGAATGGAGCAGCAGGCCTTATGTTTGGTATTTAAATGTGTTTTTCTCTATAGGTAAGGAGAGCTGCTTTGAGAGAATTGTGTCAAGGTTTGGAAAGAAAGTCACATATGTAGTGATTGGAGATGGACGAGATGAAGAAATTGCAGCCAAGCAGGTAACGTAGAAAGGGGGAAAAAATCAGTTGTGTGATTGTGCATGAAGCAATTAGAAAAACGGTACAGTAGAGCATGTACAGTGGTGTATATCTGTAATCCCTCCTCTGGAGGCAGTGAGAGGATATGAACTGCGAGGCGTGTGGGCAGAACTACGAATAAAGGAGGGAATGAAGGCTGAGGATCTAGCCTACTTGGCAGGGTGTTGCTTCACCACATGAAACCCAGGTTCAATCCTCAGGATTGTAGAACCGGGATGGAGCATGCCTATCATCACAGCATTTGTGAAGTATGGGCAGGAGGTTGAAAGGGCATCCTTGGCTATATAGTGAGTTCACAGGATGCATGAGACTCTTGTCAGAAAGGGGTATAGGGAGAAAAATGATAAAATTGAAAAATCTTTACCACTATTGTGTATTTGTAGTGTCTTCCTTCCTCACTTTTTCCCAGGTGGAGTTTTTCCTGTAATTTGTTAGATCTTCCTCTGTCCTTTCCTCCCTGCCTAGGGATGTAGATCAGTGGATAATGCTTGCTTACATGCTCTAGGAAGCCCCAGGCTCAATTCCCAGCACCAAGTAAAAGTAGATGTGATGGTACGTGTCTGTGATTCCAGTACTCAGAAGTGGAGGCAGGGGGATCAGATGCTCAAGGTCATCCCTAGGCTATATAGCAAGTTCAGGGTCCCTCTCATTAACCCTGAAGTGGGCCTCATCTTCATCTGAGATTCTGAGGACATCAGACTGACTACAAAAAGGCAAACCATTCTGATCTTAGGCTTCAAGTCTGTTTTTAAAAGTAGGGAGGGAAACAGAAAAACAAGTACATTCAACAGGAATTGTGTTAGAGAAGTCTTTGATGCTTTTGAAAGCCCTGCAAGTTTGTTGATAAAGTTCCCCTATCACTATGCAGGCCCAAGCCATGGGTCATCCTCTCTTCATACAGAAATAGTATCTGAGTTTGGGCTATGGAACCTAAAATCAGATTAAGTTAGGAATGGTCGTGTGCACCCACAGTCCTGGCTACTTGGGAGGAGAGGAGAGATTGCTTGAGGCCAGGAGTTTGGGTCAGCTTCACCTATATAAAAAGACCCTGTCTCTTAAAGTCAGGTGAAGTGCACTGTTAGCTGTGCCGAAGTCTGTTTACCCTCTGAGTTTGTTCATCTGCTATGTGGGTGTATGAACATTCTTTCTTGGCCTTTGTTTCTTTTGTTTTTAGATTTAAACCATGCCTTACCAACTAGGGTTGCCCTGATTTTCTTCACCCAGTTCATAGAAACCACAGCAACTACTAGTTAGTGACTGACAATCAATTGGCATCATTATTTCATGATGTTTCCATGAAATACTTGCCGCTTGATAAAGCTTTTCTGTGTTAATAATTGAGGCTTTGATTCTCCAGTCCTGCTCACTCTCCCTTCGGGACAAACATCGGTGGCTTCTCAGTCTGGAGAAGAAATAGGGAAAGGAGAAGGAATAAGAAAGAGAGAAAAGAGCTTGAATATTTGTAGAGTTCCCCCCTAAGCTGAGGTCTGCAATCTACTAGGAAATGCACTCTCCAGGAGTTCAGGGTGTATTAGTCCTCAGCACTGAGACAAAAATGAAATATGCTCATTAAAATGTCTGAGTGAAGCAGGGCAGTGGTGGTGCACACCTTTAGTCCCAGCACTCGGGAGGCAGAGGCAGCAGATCTCTGTGAGTTTGAGGCTGGCCTGGTCTACAAAGTGAGTTCCAGGTCAGCCAAGGCTGTTACACAGAGAAACCCTGTCTTGAAAAAGAAAAAAAAAAAAAGGTGTGTGTGTGGGGGGGGGGGGGGTAGCAGTGCAGTAGAGAGATGGCTCAGTGGTTAAGAGCACTTGCTGCTCTTCGAGAGAATCCCAGTTCAATCTCCAGCACCTACACGGCAGGTCATAAATGTGTGTAACTCCTGTTCCAGGGGATCCAATGCCCTCCTATAGACTATACCTATAGGCAAAACACTGATGTACATAAAATAAAATTATTTTTTAAAAAGTCTGACTGCTTTATGCAATTTAGCCTGCTTCCTGTCAGTAATCTTTCTCCAGCCTTTCTGGAAGAAAACTAGTCCTTGCATGAATGTGCCTCAAGGATGAGGGAACTGATTCCCAAGCAACCTACCTATGGAGCCATTCAAGCTGTCAATGTCCTTCCTTCCATTGGACAAAATGCCATGATCCAGCACTGCTGTCTTCCTCTGCTGTCTGCTAACAACTCCACAGTTGAGCAGCCAACAAGGACAGCTAACTCTAAGCCAGAACTTTCTAAAACTCAGCATTCTGAATAACTCATAGAGGGTCAGTGAAACTCATCATCTTGCACATGGTTTCCAGCACTTACTGAGGTGCTGGAAGAACTTTGTATAGCTCTAGTGACATAACATCTGTACGTGCTGCATCTTGGATATGGGTAGTATTTGAGCCTGTTAGAGCAAAGGCTTACAGGAAACTGATCGACTACAAGGCAGTTTCCTTCCCAGTCTGTCAGTTCTTACAGTATCTCCTGTGTTGCTCAGACTGGCCTCAATCTTGTATTCCTGTCTTAGCCTCTCAAGTATTGGGATCATAGGCATTCACTACTACATTCAGAAATACTGATTTTTTTTTTTTTTTAATCACCATTTTATTTGAACCTGAAAACCTTAAAATCTAGGACAGGTACCTCGATAAAAGCATAGGTAGCATTGAAATCTCATAAAAATTCCTCACATTTCTATGTCCTGTATTGTACTGAGTTCAGACATAAGGATAGATGGTTACCAAGAGCCTCAAGGAGACATCTGTGGAGGAGGGGCTATGGTTAGGTCCCAGAAATTGGGCTAACAAGCCTTCCTTCTTCTCTTCCAGCACAACATGCCCTTCTGGAGGATCACAAACCATGGAGACCTGGTGTCCCTGCACCAGGCTTTAGAGCTTGACTTCCTCTAAGAACTGGAACGTGGAGCCTTCCCACCCTGTGAGCTTCTTTTTACCTCCAACAGGAGTCAGAGGCCAGAACCCTCTGAGACCCTTGTCTCTGTCTGTCTGTCTCTCTGTCTCAGCATCCCTCCCCTTCTCTTGTGCTCTTTCTCTCTCCATGGAATGCTGGCGAGAACACAATCAGAACCAACTGCAGTTTTTGCTGAGTGAGCCACAGCCCCATCCATAGTTAGCAGGAGGTGGCTGGGTAGGACAGCAGACTTCCTGCCGCTGCCGTGCTTTACTTCTGTTTCATTTCACAAAGAACAAGAAAGGCAATGATGGGCACATAGTTGCACTCTTGGTGCATGGACAGACTGGGAGCTGCTCCCGATCATGCTGACGGAAACTGGCCCTGTCCCATGAGAACATCTCCTGTAATCTTAGTTGTAGAACTTCTCTTCCAGTGAATGGAGATGTTATTTTTGTAGGTGAGGGCCTGGTCTCTGAAGCAAACCCCCCCCCCCCAGCCTTTTCTATGAAGAAAGTGGTGTGTAAAGTCTCCGAGATGGAAGTGTCTGAAATACCTCTCTGTGATAAGCAATGCTCTTTAGTGGCCCCAGCACTCTGCTCTCCAGGAGGTCCTGGCTGTATCAGGGCCCGGGTCACTTACTAACTTTAGACTTTGGCATCTCCCATCTTGTAAACCTCAGTCTCCTTGCCAGTCCTCCTTTGTAACCAAAAGTTACAACCCTGGAAACTCTTTCCCATAGACAATAAATCTAAGCCTTTAGCTTATGATTTAGAGGCTCTGTCCTACGAGGTTCAACCTCCAAATTGGGCTTCTTAGGAGTGTCGCCTTGGCTCCTGTGCTAAGGGTCTACTAGAGCTCCTGCAGAGCAGCACCTGTTCCCACCAGAGGCTTGCTCTGTGGCTAGCTCAGTCATCAGAATCTGGTTTCACACTCTCTGCTCGCTCTGTCTCAAATCCACCTCTCCGTACAGCTCTGGCCAGCCCCTGCCCACTCAAAAGGCAAAAAGTCTTAAGAGCAAGGTATACCTGCTTCCTTTGCCCTGCACTTACATGCAGTTATCCCAACTTACATTTACACAGATCTGTGCCTGGGAGTAGAGAGCAGATAGCTAGAATCAAAACCCAATTCCCTATGAAATACCCCATTTCTCAGATTCCATGCTGAAGTGGGAAACCAGGCCAGAAAATATATAATCCTGAGCTAGGGGCAAGAGCACCTGGCAGCTTGCCCCTAGAAGGTGTGGAGGGGAGCCTTGGCCTAGGCCTAGCCTTTCAAGCCCAGCTGTCTTTGGGGGAGGTTTGGTTTTATTTTGTTTGAAGGCATTATCCCGTTAGGACCAATGAGGTTACCTGCTTAATTGGGGTAAAGTTGCCTAGAGTTGAGGATATGTGCAGCCTTGGTTCTCAGGAGGTCCTTAACCAACCCATAGCTGTAGTCACTGTCCCCAGAGATGCTGCAGCATAAAGGCAAGGTTCCTCCTAAAGCCAGGCCGCTGGACAGCAACAAAAAGTGCAGCACACCATTTTCAGAACTGTTGGGCAAGACTTCTGAGAGCAGCGGTTAAGTAAGGGGCTCAGACAGGATACGAGATTGAGGTTCCATCTTTGGTCACCCATTTGGCTTTATTTTGAGGTAGGGGGTGGGAACAAAGAGGTGGAGTCTAAGCCAGACCTCCCTAGGCTACATTTAGCACCGCCATCCCAGCACTACCCAGCCTTTTCTTCCTGGTCCATCATAGAAACTCAAGGGAAAGTTTTACTTTCAACCCTCAAAACCTTCCCTCATTGCCAGTGTAGTTTCTTGTCCTGGACAAAGGCCACCTGTTGGTCTTCAGGCGTTTAAGGCTTCCAAGTGTGACACACAGCCCTCCCTCTACACACAGGTTAACACCATGAACACTTGAAGGGAGACTCTTCATTCCTAGAATGTATCATGGAGTCCCTGCCCACCCAATTTAGCTCTCTTTACAAAAGGAATTTGGACTTGGCCAAAAGAGGCAAGGAGACACTCTGAGCTGAGCCTCTGTTCTGGCAGGGGAAGCCAGAGTGTGTTGTTTCCACCGAAAGGAGCATCCAGGGCTGCTGCCCTTTGTACTGATTCTGCCTCCCTCCCACAAAGGCTTGGGAAGGAAAATGAGCTGGCAGCATTATAGCTGTTAGTCCTAAAAAGATGGCTCATTGGTTAATAGCACTGGCTGCTGGTACAGAGATCCAAGGTTTGAGCACCTGCAGGGGCTGCTCACAACCATCTGTAACTACAGTTCCAGAGGGTTTGATGCCCTCTGCTGGTCTCCTCAGACACCAAGCACTTACATACATGCAAGAAAACACTGATACACATAAAATCTCTTTTAAAAATTAAAAGCTGTTGGAAGTTGGAGCTGGAAAAAACTGGGTCTTTCATCAAAAAGACCCAGTCTTTACTGGAAAGAGCACCCTGAAGTAATTAGCTGGTAATCCTTCACCTGCTGGATCCAGTGCTCTCAAGGGTTAGTCTGGACATTTCATGGTGTGGGCTAATTCTAGGAGTGTCTGTGGAGTTGCAGGAATGTTCTTGGATACAAGGTGACTTTCGAATGTAAAACTGACTGTGCCTTAGCATCACCCTGTCCAGTGCCCCGGGACAGCTGGTGATGTCCAGGAGAGTGGATACCTGCTCCAGAATTCAGGTGCCTGTTTGGGCTTTTGATTTGGGAGTGTTCTGTCTTCTCTACAAGTTGAGTGTCAGAGCTAGTATCCCAAGAGACTTGGCACAGCTTGTTTGCGATTCACGCAAACTCAGCCTTCACAGCTCCAAGTAGAATCTGATTGGCATACTGCAACTGGAAGCATATGACACTTGTAGACACTACTTTGAATGGGAGTCACACAATTGACAAGAGCACCAGACAAAGCATGGTACTGTCCTCTTGGAGAGTACAGGCTAGCCCCCACGTGGCAGGCTTGGGCCCTCCTTCCACACTTCTCCCCAGGTTGCAGCTGAGGCCTTCTTGAGTAAGCTTCTGTTCCTTGCTGCTAACCTGGTCTCCATCTTCAAGAAGCTAGAAGTATTCAGACAGATTCATTATAGATGCCAAGTTGGAATTCTGAGCTCAAATACCTTAACCACAGTGGCAAAAATCTGCTTGTGTCCCAGCTCTGTCCGCAGGCCATCTGTCCTCCCTCTGCCTTGAGTCAGCAGCAAGGCTCCCTGGCTGCCTCCTAGCACACTGAGCGGAGCCATTCCATTAAGGACTTTTTCTTCTTGGATCGCCACTCTCCCTCTGGACTTCAGATGCCTCTTTAACAGGAAAAGGCATCGGTTGGGTTGGATATATTTATGTGACTGCGGGCATTTGTGGCTATAAGAGTCCTTGACCATAATGTTATATGTAATGGGAACTATCTTATAAACTTGAAAAAAATAAAATTTTTATTTTCTATATAGTTTTCTCATTTGTCTTTTCTAAATAGGGTTAACCCAGTTGCTGAGCCATGCAGGGTTCTAATCAGGGCTTCATTCAGAAAGATGTCACCTTTCAATAACTGGGTCATTAATTTCACACATACAAAAAGTGATATTTGACATACAGTGGAAAACAAGGAATTGTTTTTAATTGTTTTTAGAAGTCAATCTGTGCTGAGCATGAGCTGCAAACCATTAACACTAACAAATCCAAGTGGACCTTTTAATCTGGTCCAATTTTGTGTCACATCAGCCAGTTTTTCTCCATTCCATCACACTGGTCTGAGTGGCCTTTGTTGGCTTGGAAAACAGCCAGGAAGCCTTTTATTCCAATGAAGGAAATTAGAATTCACTTCTCATTTCCAAGGATCCAATATGTCAGACCACAAGGTGAATTTCCTCCAGCAAGTGTGACATCATCTTGTACCCTGGATAGTGGTCTTTTGAATCACAGTGCTGCTGAAGCCAACTGTTAGCTCTTGTCTGCTCCCTGCTCAGTTACAAGCAGAGGGTCCAAGTATTGATTGACTTCCAAATCCCAAGAGAAAACATCCCCATCTCCTAAAAAAAAACATTTCTCCTACAGACCCTTCAGTGAATGTAAATTTTTTTATTTTTTTTTTTATTTTCAAGACTGGGTTCCTTTGGCCCTGGCTGTCCTGGGACATGTAAATCTTACTGTAGTTTATTTTTCTAAAACAGGTTTCTTTGTGTTTAAAAGTTCTTGATCAGGGGCTGGAGAGATGGCTCAGCAGTTAAGAGTGCTGGCTTCTCTTCCAGAGGACCCAGGTTCAATTCCCAGAATATACATGGCAGCTCATAACTGCCTGTAACTCCAATTTCAGAGGATCGAACACCTTCACACAGTATATATGCCTATAAATATATGTGTAGGCAAAACATGAATGCACATGAAATAAAAATTATTTTTTTTAAAAGTTAACTGGTCAGGTGTGGTATTCCTCCTGTCTATAATCCTTAAAAGCCGAGGCAAGATTGTCAAGAGTTTGGGCTACCCTAAGTATGTGTGGGGCCTCCTCTCAAACGGCCAAAAATATATATCTCAATGTGAATCATCAAGGACATTACTAGTCTAGTTTTAAATTCTGTAAACTTTGAAAATAGACCTTTTTATGGTAGTACACAACTGTAATCCTAGCAATTAGGAGGCTGAGACAGGGTGATGACCTGTTCAAGGTCATCTCAATTAGGATAAACTGTCTAAAATCAAGGCCAGTGTAGTTACATGCAGGGTGAGGGGTGTTTTGGGGGTGGTTTTGGTTTTTTGTGTATGTGCACGCGCGTGCACACGCATGCACACACACCTGTATATGCATGTGTAAACGCCAAAGGAGGATGTTGGATCCCCTGGAGCCAGAGTTACATGCAGTTGTGAGTTCTGGGAACCAAAACTAAAGGATCTGCGAGGGCTCTGAACTGTTGAGCTGGATCTCTAGCCCCAGCCCTGACATCTGTTTACTTCCAGTACTTGATAGGTGGAAGCAGGAGGATCAGGAGTTTAGCCTCAGCTGCATGATGTGTCCCCAGCTAGGTTAGCTCTTCGTAAGCCGTTTCAAGAACACCAAGTGTGCATTAGTGTGTTAGGTAGAATATGTAGTTTTATATAGTATTTGGTTATGTGTTTTAGGTAATATAACACATTGTTTAATTTAATACACATAACCACATTTGACAACTTCATCTGGAATACAGATGAAAGCTCAGCCAAAACTGAAATTCTGAACACATCTTGTGTTTTTGTGTTGAGACAGGGTGATGTGGAATAATGTTCTTGTTCACTGTAAAGACGTGTCACTCATATTGGTTTAATAAAATGCTGACTGGCTACTTTATAGGTGGGCTACCAGGCTAAGAGAATCTGGCAGAGGAAAGGCAGAGACGTAGTCACCAGACAGACACAGGAAGGTGAGAATGCCTTATTGAGAAAAGGTACCAAGCCACTTGACTAAACATAGATAAAAAATTATGGGTTAAGTTGTAAGAGCTAGCCGGGCATTGGTGGCCTTTGATCCCAGCACTTGGAAGCAGAGGCAGGTGTATCTCTGTGAGTTCCAGGCCAGCCTGGTGTACAGAGTGAGTTGGACTGCCACCAAAGTAACAGAGAAACCCTGTCTTGAAGAGGAAAAACAAAGTTTAAGAGCTACATGGTAATAAGCCTGAGCGATAGGCCAAACAGTTTATAATTAATATAGGCCTCTGTGTGTTTACTTGGAACTAAACTACTGCAGGACCAGGTGGAACAGAAACTTCCATTTACACAGGGTTTCATGTAGTTCACAGGGGCTTCTGTCACTGAGGAGTTAGAACTCCTGATGTCCTTTCCTAGAATGTAGGTGCACCACACCAATCCAGCCCTCTTTAGACCTCACCCTTTGTATAAATGGGGATAACAGTGGTTTCAGGTGTGTACCCCTAGAGGCATCCATTTATAGAACGGTCCCTTCTGATGTACTCACATCCAGTCTTTCATGAGATGGTGGTTATTTTTCATGTTCTCTTAATATCAGCAACCACTTTGGCCCCTTTTACTGGTCTATGAAATTAAGGTCTGAAAATCACTAGGTCCTTTCTGTCCATAATACGCAGCATGTACCATTTCAGTATGAGAAGCACTGCCTTTTCCCAGAACCTCTCCCTGGCCGCCACCTGCATCTCTACAGCCTTCTTAGCTGTGAGCCAACAGCACTCCACAGTCCTCTCCCGGTGGGATTGTCCCACAGGAATTGCACTTGCAGACCCCTCTCCACCAGCATACTGTAGCATGACTCCAGGCTCTGCTTGCTTCTCAGGGGCTTCAGGATGCAGTCACTGCTAAAGTAGTTCTTCCTACACCTTAAGTGCCTTAGTTTCTCAGAGACGTTTTCACTAACAGTTCTTAAAACTGTAACTTGCCCACGACACACCCTTACATCTCTCTGTTTTACAGCGCTTGACACTATTCGATGATACATATTTTGGTCACACTTTATTTTACCCCCATGCCAACGAGTGACTGGTAGAGCTATTGTGGGTTCCCAGCACTGGGAACAAGGAGCTTTTCCTCTGCCTCTGGCATTTTCCCTGTTCCCTGTTCACCAGACTACAGACTTCCCAGAGCAGAACCCTCTCCCCAAAAAACGTCAATGGCATCCACATCCCAGGAACCACTTCCTCTTACCCACGGAGGGCTCTCAGTACTTACCTTCCACCCAGCCCCTCAAACTCACCTCCTAGTTCTAAAAATGCTACTCTTCAGGCTCAGGAGAATGCACTAGTCTGCCCAGATTTTGAGTTCTGCTGCCTGCCAGATGGGCAACCCACTCTGGCTCATCAGCTACTGCATCTTATAAAGCAAATTTAAGTCATGCCGTCAGATATTTGTACACTGTATGAAGATATATTGCTGTGATTGGTTTAATAAAGAGCTGAATGGCCAATAGCTAGTCAGGAAGTATAGGAGGGACTTCTGGCAGAGAGGAAATAGGAGATGAATCTGGGCGCCTGAGACACCAAGACACACAGGGAGTCAGACATACAGAATGAAATTTAAAAAGCCATGAGGCAAACAGATTAATATAAATGGGTTAATTTAAATTATATAAGCTAGTGGGACAAGCCCAAAATTTTATAATTAAGTCTCTGTGTTGCTTTTTGGAGCTAGCTGGTGGGAAAGAGAAAGGCTAGCTGTATTTACTGCCAAACTTGGAGCTCAAACTTATGGTTATGGGATTAAGACTCCCATGCTCTACCAACTTAAAAGGGAAACTTGAGAGAATTGTAGATATAGCCATTCCACTATGCCAGTAAAGCTACCTTGAATCAAAGGACAGAGTTGGCGATTGGCTAACTGGGATTAGCTATACAGTTCTTGAAGGACTGAAGAGGTCTGCTAGAGAGGACAGGAAGAGGGACAGGGTTTCTGGGGAGGTAATTAAGAAAAAGTGTAGAGAGAGGGTCAGCCATGGGCTCTTGTTATGAGTAGGTTTTTCCAGCAGCCTGGAGCCACTGCCGAGCCAGCCCCAAATAACACAGAGACGCTATTTTAGATATAATTCTGTTGGCCTCTTATCGGCTGGCTCTGTCTTAACTATTAACCCATTTCTATGAATCTAAGTACTTCCATGTGGTCTTATCTTATGGGAGAGAGGGGCAAGCGTTCTTCTCCCCGTGCTCCATCTTGAATCTCCCTACTCCTTCCTCCCTCCTCATCTCCTAGTCCCACCTATCTTGCTTCCCTATTGGCCAACAGTGCTTTATTCATTAACCAATAAGAGAAAAATATTTACAGAATGACATCTCCCATCAGGCTCTCTGTTGTCCTTGGGTTTTTCAGGTCTTTATCTCAACTTCTGACTCCTGAGATTTTATTATACTGGCACAATTTAGATATTCTTTACAAAGTCATACCTAACTCAGCCCACATCTGTATTCCAGGGGTCTGTACCAGTTTTAAGGGGTTCCAGGTCCCTGCCACCTGTCTGTAATAGAAAGGGTGATAGCGTGTACTTACTGGTACATACTGGTTTGGAGAATTTCATGTGGTTTTAATAATACTGTTGAACACATGTGCACATGTTCTCGTCCTTTCACAGACTGAAGTAGGAGATACATATGCTAGCTACAATGAAAAATACTCAATGGATAGTGCATGGCCTAGACCACAGGTCCATAAGGCACTTGGTTTAAAGGTGGCCTAAGTGCCAGAGTAGAGACTGCTGCATCACGACACCGGGGGGGGGGGGGGGACACGGACACGGGACTGGCAGGGTCATCACTGGCCTTTGGTCTTTGAGATCAGATTTGTTCAAGTGGGTAGGGAAAGAAGCTCAGGTGGTGGCCAGTTCAACAGTTAGGGCGATGCTCCCAGAACATAAAGTACTCTCAGCATTTGTTAACTGAAGTGGATGGGTGGGGTAGGGAAGACTTCTCGAGAACATCTCCTAGCATCCCAGGGCCTTCTAGAGCAGGCCAAGGAACCCAGGAGACAGAACATTTTCCCCAGTTACCTGAGAGGTAAGAATGGCAACGTGCGGCTTTGATGACAGCAGCTCTATTGGTTGGAAAGGAAGAGAAAATGGCTTGTATATGACTGGCCTTTGACTCTTCCAAGGCCCAGCTCTCTACATTGTCCTCACTGGCTGAGTCACACCCTGCCTCAGAGGACTCCTTCCACCTCTGAAACCTCTGGCAGAGAGGCCTTCGTTTTGTACTTGGGGAAGAAGTTCTGTGCTAACTGAGTGGCACGCCTGTTATAAAGCCTCTTAGGCTGTTTCCTAGGAAGAAGACTTAGGACCCCATCAATGCGGTCGGGCTCCCAGTGGCAGTGAGGGTGCAGCCAGAGGTAGTAGATGAGACGCAAAGCCAGTCCCAGGAGGAAGCAGGCTCCTCCTATAGTCAACCACAATGGCAAGAAGATCCCACTGGGTAGCAAGATGCTATGTGCCACCCACATGCTGACCAATAGAGTACTGTCACTGATGATGAAGATCAAGTGGATGATGGCCCGGCCTCGGGTGCGGCCCCCAGCCACATTGAACCAGGAGAAATAAAGGATGAATGCCACTGTCACCCGGTACAGCCACTCAGTCTTGGGGTTTGGCATAAATTTTGTGCCTTGAAGCCAGACCCAGAACAACAGTACCAACCACAGGCTGAGGAAATGCACGGCTACATAGTGGGGGAAGAGAGCTGAGAAGAGGGAAACAGCAAAGATTCGGGGACACAACAGCAGCAGGTTCCACAGGAAGTAGATGGCAGAGGAGCTCCAGCCTAGGCGAGGCTTAGAGGGAAGACAAGTACGCAAGGCCCGGTGGTAGTCCAGTAGTGCCCACGAGACGCCCAGGAAGGATGTGCTGATGCCAAACCCTACCAAGAACAAGAAGAAACAAGTCAACCTTGAGGGCAGCATGCCTAGCAAACCCCGGGGCTCACAGGAACGCTACCAGAAACCCAGAAGTAGGTCCTACAAGCCCCAAGTTGTTCAAGAGACAGTTGGAGAGGGAGAACATCCAGTTAAGTTCCAACCAGAGAGAGTGCTCTGCTTTCAAATGCTACCCTGGTAGCACTCATAAGGATGGGAGGGTGTGTGAATTTGGCACTCCTGGACCTTGGCTATAAGCTTCTTCTAGGTCTATAACCTTTCCATTTCCAAGGTCTGGGAATGGAATTAGTAGTCCTAGCCCCCCTTTCTCCATGTCAAAAAGTAGGCAGACGTTCTCATGGAGTAGCAGCAGACTTCCTGCAGCTGTCCTCAGGACTGGGAGTAATGGCCTGCCTCCCCACTCCTCCTCACTCTCCTCCATGTAAGCCTGGCCCATTATCCTGATTTTCCAAGATCCACTTTATGATAGGGGTTCTACCCCACTTCTGAACTGTCTAGACTCAAGAAAGATGGAGTGGCATGGGCATACTGTACAACCCTATGTGTCTTCCCTCACCTCTTCTAACTCATTCACTCAACAGAAGTGTACTGAGAGCCTGCTGTGTGCTCAGGACCACCTGGGACCTGGTATCAAATCTGCAACTAGCTCCGCCTCTTACCTACCTCTTACCTCCCTGCAAAACCCAGCTTCAGTAACTTCTGGGGTTTCCCTTCTAGACCCCACTCTGCAGCCACAGGTTCCTGTAACAACCCACCCACCCCATCAACACAGCAATTACCAGTTTTGTTTTTTTTTTTTTTTTTTCCAGACAGGGTTTATCTGTGTAGCCGTAGCTGTCCTGGAACTCACTCTGTAGACCAGGCTGGCCTTGAAATCAGAGATCCGCCTGCCTCTGCTTCCTGAGTGCTGGCATTAAAGGTGTGTGCCACCACCACCCTGTTTTCTATTTTTGAGCTCCTGGAGGGCAGAAAACTGACTTGGCTCACCTGGGGTCCCCAGATGGCCCAATATGCGGCACACATTAGTTTCCTCAATCAAAAGCTGAGAAAAACCTGTCTCCTCTTGCTCAACCAACAGTGTAGACCCTATCCACATGGCTATGATCAAGAAAATGCCATCTATCTATATATCTAGCAGATGCATCTCTCTTCTTGTTAGTGAGGGGTTCTCCCAGGTCCTAGTGTGACAGCAAGGAGGGTTCCTTGGGGAGCTGCTACAAAGCTATTTGAGGTCGAAGGGGTGGGGAACAGAAAGGGGAGCCCTAGGCTCAATCCAGTGTGAGGGAGAGTCCCAGGCTGGGCACTTGGTCTTGAGGAAGTCCCTCCCAAGACTCCTCACTGTACAGACTTCTCTGCAGGTTTATGGAGTCTTATGAGTGTCTGCCACCTGTCTCTTTTGGTAACTCAGTACACAGAGTGTAACTATTTATTTTACAGGCTGGGTGGAGGCTCTGTGTATCTTGTTCACCACTGTGTCTCTACCACAGTGACAAAGAAAAAACTTGAGTGTCTGAAGGTTCCCTGTGGGGAGCAGGAGAGGTCCTGAGTGGATGTGTGTTATTGACCATGAATGGCCATGTCAAAGACCCCAGTGCCTCAGACCATAGGAATGGTATTATCCCTGGTAATACCATTAAGAAACAGCTGGCCTTTAGCTAAAACCAGTATGTACAGAAACTTCAAATGTGCTACGCTGCTGCTTCAGGATCCAGGGTCCCAGCTTCTGTGTGTGCCTGTTGTTTCTTTAGTCAATCCCTAAGCCATGCAGGTGGAAGCAGTGCTCAATAAAACGCCCATTACCTAACAAACCTATTATGTGTCAGGTAATTTCTATATTTTATTTTATTAACATCAAAATAATAAAAAGCACATTGCTGGGGAGGCAGAAGCAAGGGAAATCTGTGAGTTTGAGGCCACTGTGGTCTACACAGTAAGTACCAGTCCATCCTGGTTTACAGAGTGAGAACCTGTCTCAAAAATAAAAGATGGGAGAGCAATTGAGAAATATACACCTGACACTGACCTCTGGCTTCTGCATATACACACATACAGTTGCAAACGCGCACACACACACACACACACACACACACACACACACACACCCATATAGTATGTACCAGGCCCTGGGCTTTGTATGCATCCCCCACATCTAACCTCAACACTTCACCAAATAGGTTCATTATTATGCCCACTGTTCAGATGAAAAAAACTGATAGTTTGAGTCACTTTTCTAACTTCATGCAGCTTGAAAATGGCTTTAGCTTTGAATCCAGGCCCACTACCCAATGCTCAGTCACCCTACCTACGATTTTGAGAACACTGTTGACACTGGAAGGGAACCAAAGGGATAGTCACTGGTCCAGCACTCACACTGGTAGTATTCAGCATGGCCACTCTTCAACACGATAGCCAGCACCAGTGTGAGCTGTGGTGTCGCCTCCAAGAAACTCTCAAAGAGCCGCAGCATGCTGATATCCAGGGAGAGGAAATCTGCATAGGCTAGGTCACTCTCAGATGGTAGCTCCTGCTTCAACAAGGACAGCCCCTGCTTTAGCCCCTGCAGGCACCTAGGCAGAACACACAGATGCCCAGGGGGCCAGGTCAGTGCTCTGTAAATTCCTCCAGGTCTACTACTGTGTACATGGAGGTAGGCTTCAGTCCTAGCTTGTCACTTAAATGCTATGGAACCTTAGGCAAGCCACCTAACCTCACAGAACCTGTTTCCTCATCTATAAAGTGGGTGGCATACAACTTCTACTCTTGCTGGTCAGGCATGGTGCCAAGTTTATCACAACTCACAAAGCCCTCTTTTAGAGATGGAAAATGGAATTAAGGAGCAAGTAAGGGGCCTGGGAGATGGCTTAAAAGTTAACTGCATTCACTGCTCTTGCAGAGGACCAGCATTCAGTTCCCAGCACACGAGGTGGCTCACCTGTAACTCCCGCTCCAGGGGATCTGCCACCTTCTCTGGCCTGTCTGTAATAACTGTCCTTCACACTCACCTGGGTTGCACTCAAGTTTGTACAATCCCTCAGGCAAAATGCAAACATTCAAAGCCCCTCCCCAGTGCTGGAAGCTGTATCCAGCTTTACCAAGATGAGAATTCCACAACAGATTTTGAACATCCAGCCACCCCATCCCAACCCACACCCACCAAGAAGCCCTGCCTTCATCACAAGACCCTGACCCCTTGATTTTACTTTCTCCCATCTCACCCAAGGGCTTATTCACACACACACACACACACACACACACACAAAAAAAAAAAAAAAAAAAAAAAGTCACCAGGGACTTTCTAACTGTCCTCACTTCTGTCACTCTGAGCTGAACATGGGTCCTATCCAGTTCAGAAAAAGCACACAACCCACACACATTTTTACAAGAACCAGTCTGTGTCCAGCCCTGGCCGGCTCCAGGGACACAGATGAGTCAGGCAGGACCCATCTCTGCCTTTTTCATTCCCCGATGGGGAAGCAAATGCTCACAGAGGACAGAAACAAAGGGAAGGGGGCACTGTCCTGGAAAACTTGAAGCTGTGTCAGGACAACTTACGGACATGTGCCTTTAATCTGCTCAGAACATCAGTAGCAACTATTGCCATCCACGCTAGAACAGAGTAAACTGACACCAGAGGAGTTAATGACTCACCCAAGTTCCTATTCATGATAAAAATAAAAAGTACGCCAGACAAGGTGATGCACGCCTTTAAGAGGCAGGCGGGTCTGAGTTCGAAACCAGTCTGATCTACAGAGCGAGTTTCAGGGCAACCAGGGCTATGCAGAGAAACCCTGTCTCAAAAGAAAAAAAAAACTAAATTAAAATAATAAAAAATAATAATAAAACAGTCCTTGGGCCCATATTATACCAGGGACTTTCTCACTGGACTTGGCTCTGAAGGTTGTCAACCCGCGTATCTTTTTCCTCGACGGGCCCGGCGGGCACTCACCTGTACACAAAGCCGAGCTGCAGCAAATGCAGCAGCGCCAGCGAACGACGCGAGGGCAGCGACCCGTGCAGCTCGGCGGGGTCGGAGGCCAGCCAGAACCAGCTGAAGAGCTGCAGCAGCACCGAGGCGACGCACAGCAGCGTCAGCACCAGCGCGGCCCACAGGTAACGGCCACCGAGCACGTACTGGACGACGGCCCACAGGTCAACGGCCACGTCCAACAGGAAAGCCAGGGTGCCCACCACGCCCACGACCAGGTCCAAGAACAGAGGGTTTTGTAGCGACAAAGGCATGGCCGTCCAGCCGGCCTAGCAGCCGCGGGCCTGCCGGCCAGCCGGGTCGTCGGGCAGGAAGGGGGCGGGACAGTCTTCGGAGAGGCGGGGCTGCTGGGCGGAACTTCCCCCTCTCGCCCTGCCGTGGGAGGAGCGAGGGTGCGACCCCGCCCCTCAGCCGATCCCACCGCTCAGACCCGGGCCCCAGGCTACCCTGTCCAGAGCCCAGCTGCTGCTGCTTTAGATTTTGAGTTTGGGGCTAGAGGCCGGGCCACAGCTGTGATCCCTCAAGGTTGCACGGTTGCGAAACCAAACCAGAAAACTTTTTAAAAAGTATCTAGGGTTTAGCAGACTACGTGTGTGCCCAGTTCAGGCCTTGAGCAGATCTGCAGGGCCCATCTTCCTGGTGGCTCATTTTACTGCGGCAATCAAGTGCATGGTAGTTTGATATATATGTATTAAGGGGAATAATGCACAAACACATGTACCACGAGCATGTTTTGTGGAGAAAACGTGAAACTTGGAAGAAATGTTCTTCTTCGGAACCTCTCCGATGAATCAAAAGACAGGGTAGACTGATGGTGATGTTCATCTCTCCATGAGCTGACACTGCCCAGTTTTACCGGGAGAAGGCTGAACCCAGGAAGAGGGAAGGTTGGCAGTGTTGACAGTCATAGCATCACCAATATGGGCAGGGTTGGCAGCAGAGTCAGTATGAGCAGGAAACCTGGCATCAGCCTAGAGCCAAGGCCATGCAGGCAGGTAGCATAAGTGTTGAATGCCACCTGCTGCATGGCACACACATGCTCAGTGCGGCAGATGTCCCCACAGGTTGAATGGTCATAGCTGACTGAGTTATAGATATAATAACGTTGCAGCATGCGCTGGTCACTGGCGATTCGGGTCAGTGCCGTGTGCATGGAGCTGGTGCCTGCATCCTGCACCTGGTAGGCCTCTGTCAGGCGGTACTCCAGCTCCCAGTGTGGGGTCTCTTGTGCATTCGCCTGACTCAAGTTCAAGAAGTAGGTCACCATGTCCTGGATTAGAGACACAGGGTATGCCAGGAATGAATAGTTGTTTAGTCCTACCCACAACCCAGCCTGTCCCCAGGCTCTCCAGAGCTATCATAACAGCTGGTTTGTTACTGAGCACTCAGGCAGGTATGCCTGGCAGAGAGCCTGTGCTTGGGTCTGATGAGGCAACTGCACCTATAACCCCATTCTCCTGATAAAAACACAGGCCTAAAGAGGTTGTTATGACTTGAATCAGAAGTGTACCCCATGGGTGCATTCTGAATGCTTGTCCCCCACTGGTAGCAATACTTTGGATGGCTGTAGAATTTTTAGGAAGTGGAGTCTAGCTGGCAGAAGGAGGCCTTTGAAGCTGGCTCTGGATCCATCTCTGCTTCCTGCTCAATGACAATGAGGAGTCCCTGACACTAGTAGCCACATGCCTTCCCCACCAGGATGGAATTAAACACTCTGAAACCATGGCAGCAGCCAGATGTGTGTGTGGGGGGGGGGGGACGGGGTAGGGGAGATGGAGGGGTTGGGGTAATGTGGCTGGCAGAGTTTAAGAACTGCAGCTGATGTGGCCTTCAAATTCAAACAAGACTGTAGGACTTGGTGGTGCCTTCGGAACCAGAACACACTGATTATCACAGAAAGGAGCTTCGGTGAGTGTGTGTGGCATTATTGCACCCTCTCTCTGCTGTGACTGCCACTGTACAGAGGAAGCAATGAAGTGTCCATGCAGACAACAAGACATGCTCTTAAAAGTCCTCAGGCCTGGGGCCAGCAAGATGAGTCCCCAGAAGCCACATGGAGGAAAGCAAGAACCAACTTTGGCAAGTCACACACACACACACAGACACAGACACACACACACACACACACACACACACACACATTTTTCAGTCCTCAGACCTGAGCAGGGGAGATGGCTTAGTGGTTAAGAGTACTTTTTGAAAATTTTATTTTACTTTTAATTTTGTGAGAGTATATGCACATGCATGCAGGAACCCATAGAGGCCAGAGGAAGGGATCAGAATCTCTGGAACTGGAGCTGTAGGCAGGTGTGAGCTGCCTGATGTGGGTCCTGGGAGTCAAACCTGAGTATTCCTCAAAAGCACTGAGCCATCCGTCCAGCTCCCAAGGGCACTTTCTGCACAACTATGAAGAACTGAGTTTGTATCCTTGCGCTCACATGCGCGCGCACACACATATAAACTGAGCAGGGTATGGAGGCTCACAGCTGTAATTGCAGCACTCAAGAGGAGACTAAGGCAGAAATGTTGTATCAAGGCAGGAGAGATGGCTCAGCTCACATGCTGCTCTTCCAAAGGACAGGGGTTCAGTTCCCAGCACCCACATATGGCAAAACACATACACATAAATAAATAGCCATTATAAGAAGAAGAAAGATTGCATCAAGCATGTCAGCAAACCCTGGCTCCTTGGCCTCTGAAATGCCTGTAGGATCAGATACTTCCCAGCACCCAGGGCTGGGTCACCACCCTCTGGCAGCTGCTGGTGTTTACTTCCTTACTGTGCCTGTGCCTTGATCACAGTAGACGTGGTGATTTTGTGAAACTGTGAATCAGAACAGCTCACACTTCTGTCCCCAGCTCTCCAAGTCCAGAGTTCTCGACATGACCTTGATCTGATCCACTTTTCCTTTTTTGCTCTCCGGGGTCACCCCTCCCCCTGCTCTTTCCCTAAACCTCCAAGCCCCTTCCCACCCCAGGGCATTTGCCTTGCTGTTCCCTCTACCTTCTTTACAAACCTATGGCTCGCTCAGTTTACACAGAACTCAAATTCCTCCTTACTCGAGAGCGACATTTCCCTTGTCCCATCTATGTAACACAGCCCACACACTCCAAAATCTTCAGCCCCTTTACCTTCCTCCCACCCTTCTTCAGCGTCTTCCTCCATGTTAAGCTAGCACTTTGCTGCTGAGCTATAGCCACGCCCCCATCCCCCTTTAGAGACACAGGGTCTTCTTGCTATGTTATTGTCTGGTCTTGAACTCACTATGTAGTCCAGACTGGCTTTAAATTTTAGTCCTGTGCCTCAGTCTCCCAAGTGCCTGGGATTACAGTGCTGTGTCAGCTGGTCCAGCTACCACCCTCCCTTTTCTGCCTCTCATGTTTAATTTTATTCATTTGTTTACTGTTGTCCTCCTGTAGGAATTTTGGCAAAGGAGAGCAGTTACTCTGTTGTTTGTGTCTGCATCTCCTGAGCTTTGAACAAGACTTGGCATGTGGAGGTTCTTAGTACATTTTGATGAATGAATGAATGAATAAATGAATGAATGAATGAATGAAGTAGTCTTTCTTTGTCGAAAAAGTGCTCACAATGTTAGGAGCTGGGTCCTGGTTGGTGTTTGGGAAGGGGCAATGGGCTTGAGCTCAGACTGTTGGGAGTCTTCCATATAGCTTAAGGAGAGGCAATTTTATCTTAAGGCTTGTAAGCAGCAGACAGGCAATATGCAGTTAGTATTTTAGGAAGATTAATCCCTTCTGGGTGTGGCAGCAAGTGGCAGTGACCCAGAACAAAGAAAGATGTGGGGAAGAATTGACCTGACCAGGTGGTAGGTGGCAGATTCTAACCAGCATTCCCTTCAAGGCTCAGCGCTGAGTAGCAAGTGGGTTAGCTGAGGACCAGAGAAGGTGGTGATGCGGTTAGGTTCCCACCCCAGGCCCCAGCAGACCCACGCTCCTAACCTGCGGGTTCAGTGTGACGCGATCATACTCGAAAACACGGATGCCTGGATTGTTGGCTCCGTTGACCACTCCAGGGAATGTGGTCTTCCATGGGGTGACCCCCGGTGTGAGGAACATGACGCTTATGGGGGCACCTTTAGGGGAAAAGACAACAGGCTGAAAGGGACACCACGGGGAGAGGAAAGTTGTCGGTGGCCAGTTCCCTCAGGACGCAGTACCTTCACTGTCATAGAACATTCGGAAGCTGTCAGTATGGTGGTGCCCAAAGAACTGCCCGGCTATGACACGGTGGTGCTTCTGGACCACCTTCAGGTACTCCTCATTGAATCTCTCTCGGAACCAGGCCTTGTCCTGTGTCTTCTCAAAGAACCCTGGGGGCACGTGGCCAATAATGTACACCTGCAAGAAAGGTACCAGGATTGGAGATGCTCTCTCCATCTGGTTTCCACCTCCCAAACCCTGCCCAGGTGCTCAAGGGCAGGCGGTCCGGCTCATGTGCATCTCCTCCCTCTGAGCGTAACTTAGACAAACCCTTCCTGATCCTTCCCAGAGCTGGGCTGATCCTCCACGGCTCCGTGAGAACACTCCATGTTCATGTGCATCTGTGTTTTATGTTCCCCTTGGCCACCATTTCAAAAATGTAGAATGAAAACAGAATTAGGAGTCAGGGGTGGTGGCACACACCTTCAGTCCCAGTCCTTGAGAGGAAGAGGCAGGTGGATCTCTGGGAGTTCAAGGCCAAGCCTGGGCTACAGAGTGGGAACGTGTCTTAAAAGGATAAAGAATAGTGACTGAGCTCTGGCGTCAAAGCACAGCTTGGCCACCAGCCGAATGTCATCTCCCTGAGCTTCAAGTTTCTCATCTGGAAGAGCATTCACCTGGGGGGAGCGTACTGGCTTGTTGTGTGTCAACACAGCTAGAGTCATCAGAGAGGAAGGAGCCTCAGCTGAAGAAATGCCTCCATGAGATTCAGCTGGGAGGCATTTTCCCAATTAGTGCTCAATGGGGAGGGCCCAGCCCATGGTGAGTAGAGCCATCCCTGGAGCTGGTGGCCCTGGGTTCTGTAAGAAAGCAAGCTGAGCAAGCCAAGGGAAGCAAGCCAGTGAGCAGCGCCCCTCCATGGCCTCTTCATCAGCTCCTGCCTGCAGGATCCTGTCCTGTGTGAGTTCCTGTCCCGGCTCCCTTCCATGATGGACTACAATATGGAAGTATAACCCAAAATAAACCCTTTCCTTCCCCCCCCCTTTTTTTTTTGTCATGGTGTTGCATAGCACAAATAGAAACCCTGACTGAGACATGGAGTTGCTACGAAATTTAATAACGGGTCAAGTCTA